ATGGCAAAAGTTCCAACACATGAAAGTGTCAATACATTATAATATTATGGACATGGTCGTATCAGGACATGGAAAAAGTTTCAACACATGAAAGTGTCAATACATGATAATATTATGGACATGATCGTATCAGGACATGGCAAAGTTTCAACACATGAAAGTGTCAATACATTATAATTTTATGGACATGGTCGTATCAGGACATGGCAAAGGTTTCAACACATGAAAGTGTCAACACATGATAATATTATGGACATGATCGTATCAGGACATGGCAAAGGTTTCAACACATGAAAGTGTCAATACATTATAATATTATGGACACGGTCGTATCAGGACAAATGTAGCGAGACATGATGATATTACGGACATGATAATATCAAAACATGATAATAGTATGGAAATGATTCCATCAAAACATGATAATATTTTGAACCTGATAATATTTTCTATTAAAATGATAGTATCAAGAAATGATAATAGTATCAGGACAAAACATTATTACCAGCATGGAAACAGCGCGCTATCAATGTTGAAACGCTCTTAAACCTCAAAAATCTACAATTCATTTTGTAATCCAGCAATCAGGCATGATGGGAGCAAAAACCAGGTAGTCACTTATGATAAAATGTTGTAAATAACAGAGAATTTAGATAATCAGAGAATTCAGACACTGATTTGTGTGTTTGTTGTTGCTTATTCTCGTCGTGTTGCGGTGTTCCTTATATACTACTACTTTTCGCCGGAAGATTTCCTCCGGAGTCCGCCAAGCAGCCTGCTATCGTGGCCTCTCTTTTATTCGCACAATTTAGATAATCTCGTAAAAAATATGAGATGTTCTGGTTTCAACATATCACTGTCTTTTATACTGGATATGTAGTACAAGAAGGCTTTAATTTTCTTCTAAATCTATTTGCTTCTATGTGGTTCTTGACAGTTTAAATTATCACGGCGTCATTTTCATAACAAAAATACTAGTCGTGAAAATAATAATGGAAAAATTTCATTTTCAATTCAACTTAAACTATGATTACAAATCTCACTATTACAAGGTTATTTGCAATTGGCTAGACTGGTTTTACAAGAAAAAACAAAAGAGTAAGTTAAAAGAAAATAGGTCAAAAATGATAACATAAAAATTTACGATTTCTTGAAACGGAAGTAAAGCTGGATTGTCCATGGTTTATTTCCAAATATTTGTGTTGTTGATCAAGGGAAAGATTTTCGCACATGTCAACAAAGGTTTCACAAGATTTGTTAAAAATGCCAAGAGCGTTGATGGAATAAAAATAATGATAATGATGATTAGAATTTCATAATTAATAAGAAAAACTAAAGTCATCATTCGAGGTTTGTTTTAAATTCTTGGCATTCGTTAGGCTACTTCTGCAGGACTTGGAACTTCTATCGCTGCCTTTCGAGATTATTTTGGCCTTAAAGACGGGGGTGGTTTAATACTTTCATTTGAAAGTTCTTTTTGTCTCAGGAAAACCTGATAATGGTTGCGGTTTGATTTCAAATACACTAGCCATTCACTATCGCCTTTCTCGCATAAAAGACAATCTTAATTGAGGATTTTGAGGTTCATCAATTCCGTTGAATTCAGAATTCCTACTTAGATAATTCGACTGACAACAAGCGAAAGAATTACAGTCAAGTTTTACTTATAGTGCGCGATAAGTTACTTATTGATACAAATTGGACTTTTTAAACATCAACGGTCATTTTTCATTTACACTTTATCTATTGCCCTAAAAATATCCATTTGTTTGCTGCCTAATAATCATCTTTCTGAGTTGAAACTATAGAGCTGGAAACTGAATTGATCTAGTTGTTCAAGTCCAGTTAAAATATTACATGGAGAGAATGTCAAAAACCACAGTATTTGATTACAGGAGACATTGAAAAAGAGGAGAATTCAAAGCTCAAACATATTCATATCAACATTTCGTGATTTCGTGTGCCTCCGGTCACCTGAATTCACTGTGTTGAAATTTCTCCTGAAAACAGCATTTTTGGTTAATTCAAAATCACATTTGCAATCCTCTATTCCAACAAAACACTCAGTTCCTCTACCCAGTTACATTGTATTTATTTTCTTATTGGCGATAAAGAAACAAGAATTTAGTAAAGAGACCAAAATTTTAAGAATTTTCAATCCATTATTCTGGTCTGAGATGCTGCGGTAGCCGAGTGGTTAAGGCGCTCGACTGCCATGACAGCACTCCGGGTTCGATCCCGGCTCGCGGACGGCCCTCAGTTCACTCAGCTGAAAATGAGTTCCTAGTTGAAACATACTAGGGAGGTAAAAGCGGCGTGGAAAGGAACTGGCCACCCTACCACACAATGCCGTGGCCCAGGACGATGCGCCCCTAACAGTGCATTCCCAACGCTCGATATCGAATACGGGACCATATCTTTCTAGCTGATGGGGTTGTGTCAACAGAGTCTGCACGTAGGATAATGATTGTTTATTTTTGTTTTCTGCCTTTTCAAGCTTATTTTTCAAAATATACAAGGGGCACACACAACCACTCTCCCTCCTCCCATCTGAGTTTGAGGCTGTAACCATGTGGCAGTGACTACTTCTTATCTCCTCTTCTCTTATCTTTCGACTTTTGATTTTACTTTCTTATTCACACATTCATTTGAGATTTTATCTTCTATGCCTATAAAAGAAACCCGTCTCTAATTTCTTCCCTGAGTTTTTTCAATTTTCTGAAGCCCTTAAATTGAACGGTTCACTGTTTGGGAAGGGGGGCATTAAAAAAGGAATTCACCTATTGGCTTATATTTCTATGAAACACAAAAACCTTCTAATTACGTCTTTCTGGTATATCCCTCTTTTTAACACCTATCTATGCTTTAGACCTCTGCTTTATGCACTGAGTAAAGGATTTACTACACTCGAAAATGTCTGTTACAGTGGCAGCTCTAAATACTGCTTTATGAAGGGGGGGTGCAAAACATAAAATTTAGACAAAACCTTGTTTACCTTTCTTAATCACCTTTCTATGATCACTGATTTGCATCTAGATGTTCTCTAGACAAAGAACTTCCCAATTAAAATGCAAAATGGCCCCTCAAATAAAAAGAAAACACATGCTCCTTACTTTAAAGGAAATTTAAAGACAATATAACATAGAGACATCACAAAATGGTATCTTACAGCAAGCTAAATTTTACCCTGGGTACCAGCCAAACTTATGAATTCAATGAAAACACCAAAACTGAACTAATGTGGTATTTGCTTAAAAGCCTTGAGTTTAACATAACAAAAGCAGTGCTTAAACAAAGATTAAGGGCAAAAATCATGCATGGAGTTTCAATGAGTAAGCTAAATAATTTTTCTTTTGCAAATTTATTCAAAAATCATCTGATCTGAGACAACTTGAAACATTTCATAACCATACCGTAGCAAACTGTCTTGCTTTGATAATATGATGCATGTTTCATATTTCTAATTTCTAATTACTGTAAATCCTTGAATAAGCTCTCATGCTTGATTAAGCCCCCCCCCTCAAATATTCAAGGCTAAATTGAGGCTTATTCGGGGCTTATTCAAGGGAAGCATAATTGCAGAATAGTATCTTATTTCAAGAAAGCCCCCACAGGATATACAGTATTACTTCCTTTGACTGGAGACCAAAAAGCTTTGAGGAAAATGTTAAACTTTGAAATAAGCCCCCCTCATATAATCCCCTACCCAATAAGCCCCCTGGGGCTTATTTGAGGATTTACAGTAGAAGTGATATGTATGTCTCTAATTCATCATGAAAAATGTTTGTGTGCATATTTCAAATAGAAGGTAAGTGCCTATTTTTCTTATTAGCTTTGCCAAAGATGTGAGAAAGGTGCTAACAACATACTAAGCTCTAATTTCAATTGTATTTATGCCTAAAAAATATTTCTTTTAAACTATTTAAAACTTTGCTAGTATCCGGCAATCTAACTTTTTTGCCACCTTCCTTGTTGGTCAGAGTGTCAAAAATCAGCAAAACTGTTGATTTGGAAAAAACACCATCAAAATAGTGATTCTGCCATCACACAATATTTTTTAGACAACACAAATTGTGCCAAAAACTTTAGCAACGACACATGCCTGGTTGTCTTTTCATCTAGCCGTTTTAGAAAAAGCCCCTTGTTCCATAGGCAGAAGTAGTTGGTTTTCAGTCATAATTTTTCTATAGGCACTAGGTACTGATTGGGCAAACTCAACAGTCTCTTGGCATTTCTGATTGGCCTCTTTTGTTCCAAAACTTGATACATATTTTTACCTTGATTTTTTCAATCATTATTCTGATGTTTTATACATCAAAGACTTTTATGATGGGGCCTAAGTGTTCACTCATTTGATGGAAACAACACAACCTGATTTGAACTGACCCCTGATACTAGAGCAAGACCAAGGCAACTTCATCGACTAAAATAACAGAAAACGTACCTTCAATTCAATTATTCAAGTTTTTAAGGCAACAAGCTTCAAATTTTTGATTTTCCTGTTTAATCTATCTACACACACCTAAAATTAAATACACCTACAAATAAGCTCAGTGGAAACCCCTAATTGAAAAATAAATGAAAATAGGGCCTTAAAATATATGCTTAAAACTCCTCAGAAATTGGTGAAACTCGTTCAAGTTGCTAAGATGACTTTAGGTGTTTAGGATGGCCAGGAAATTAGTGGGGATACCTTGTTAGAATACGCATGCATCCCTGCCCCTTGATGTTGATTGGCTTGAACAAATCATTAAGCCTTTTGTTTCAAACAATAGGAGTGAGATCTCATATCCCCAACAAATTAATCTTAGTGATTTTGATGGTAAATTTGTATTGTAGGCCGTCAAAATTGAGATTTTCATAGAAATATCAGCAAAACGTTTCTGTGACCACATAAAGCTCATATTAGCCTAATAACTAATTATTCTGTAAAAACCAAAGAAATATTCTACAAAAGATAGCATACACATTTGAAATCCTTAGTCAGAGTTTATAGAAAAACCTTCAAGCGATGAACACCTTCTTAAAAAAAAAAGTATCTTGGATTCAACCAGTGTCTTTTGAATTTGAGACATATGTTTCTCATCAATTTACAATTTCTGAATTTTTTGCTTAATTAACCTGTGTAAGAAGCTCAATGTAAACAACTATTTTTATGTTATTTGTTAGCTAAATCATTTTGTCAGAATTTTGTGTTGAAACTGACAGTGGTATCCTCCAACATCAAATAGCATAAGTGCAGGGAGTTTGATTTGATAATGGAGAACACATCTATTTATTCATTTTTGGCCCCCCATCGAAATTCCAAATTTCTTAACTTAAATCTCCTATATGAAAACACAACCCAAAAGCAAAAGGACAAGTCAAGTTGAAACAGGACCAAGACTGATATGGACTCCTCTGTTTCTAGATATATTCACAAGTTAGGCTGGACAAACTGGAAAGCTGTTAGCTTGTTATTTTTGTAAACACATCAGGATTTCAGAATCAGAAGCAATAGCTGGATATCTACTGATCGTGATTTAAACAAAATAAAAACCATTTTATATTCAAAATAAATAGTGCATGTTTTGAAAACGGTATAACAGGTCCTCATGGACTTATTGACAGGCATTGCTGGATCTTTGACACGGTTCTTTGGCTTAGCTAGCGATAAAATGTCTTCCAATATTGAATAACTCATTGTCCCTCTCCTAACAGAAAACTTCCCTGACAAGTGTACAGCATGAAGCCATTGCTATGCATGAAACCTAAGCTAAGCTTATTTTGATGAGAGGAGTTCTGATTGGTTAATTATTACAGCCAGGGACAGACGACCTTGATACTCGATTCTGATTGACTAACTGAATCCCAATTAACCAATCATAGACGGCCATTTCCTTCTGTGTTTACAACACCTGACACAGACCTTCGTTGAAAATTCCACGATTCCTCTTTTATCAATTGGCGTAGGTGAAAGACGAATTTACAATAACTTAGGAAACCATTCGATTTCAAATTCGCTGTTACGTAAGGGTGATTTATAAAAATATCATCAACTAAACATCTTTCGATCTAAATCCCCATTATGACCACAAACGACAAAGCACGATCGCTAGAAATATCCCTCGGGCCTAAGTGCCTACTGAAATCGAGCGTCTGATGAAATCAGTTTACAGCAGTTTCTAGATTTTTTTACAGCAAAAGCTGTCGACCAACTTACTGTTATGCAATAACATGGAAAGGCAACTCAATTTGGTAATCTAGCGACCAAAACCTCCAGCTAACAATCGAGTCCGACGGGGCATTTGGTAGTAAAGAAATAAAATTATCGATGCTGTGTATATATATATATAAAATATCTACAACCTGATATTAAGCTTAGCAAGAAATGTGCTAAAGCTTGGTTGCAACAAAATTCTATTAAATCAAAGAATGTAGCAAATCATGCAGCAAAGCGGTTATACATGCTCAACATCTTCATTTACGAAATCTTAAGCGTTCTAAAATCTCGACTTTTTACAAAACGGTAGACTAAACCCCTATCTCTACAAAAAAAGAAACTCTAAACTAACCAAAAACATTAACCAAATGATCTACTTATCAATTAAACTTACAACCGCGAAGCGACACATAACCGGTTGCTCGTTTCCGATAGGCCTATGCAACAAAATATTTAGGCCTAACCACAATTAGCCAAAGAAAAACCCATAAAAAACTACAACTTTACGTGGCAACGCAGAGAAGAGCACATAAGTAGCACACTGAATATCCCATGAATGAGATTATTCGCAAAACCTTTTATTCTTTGGAGAATAAATGTAGTATTCTTCTTCGAAAAATCGATCGCCTCTGGGCCTAGTCAACAGCAAACTTCAAGTTAGGCCTGAAAACTTTACCATCCCTTGCAAGTTAGGCTTACACAGACGATCAAATAGCACGATTTGCTTACCTTTTTCAATCGATCCAAGCGATATCCATGTGCTATTTGTCGCAAAATAAACTTGGCAGTTCCTCATCCTACGTTCCTTCAACTGTGATAATTGTTGTTCAAACTGAACATGCCCCGAAAATTTAAATGAAATGTGCACGCAGTTGCAGTCTGAGGCTCAATGAAGATATCAATGGGACGGGGGGCAAGAGCTCAACACCATCTTCCATTCCAAATCAATAAATAAACTAAAAGAATCTTTGATCCGATGGACAAATTTCATGCACTCTTTAAACAATATTTCTAAAAACGTGCCTTCCACTGCTATTAAAACAAGAACTCTAACAACGAAGTTAAATTAGCAAGAGCAGAGGATTAAAAACGACAATATAATTGTTTATCGTGTACAAATTTCTGGGGTCTGAAGGTAAACACCGCGTTTCACAGAGGAAGTGTACTTGGGAATGCAAAGAAATTATAAGCTTGCTGCTACCAGAACCGTCGCCAGTTTTTGTTTTAAAAATTCTTGCAGAGTTTGTCAACTCTGGCAAGAAAGATATTTACTTTTTAGATGATATTTGCAAATTACGTCAAAAATAATGTTGAGATATTAAGAAGGTTTTCAATTTCTTATCACGCTCCCAGAGAATCTGTACTTGGCCCTGCAATTTTACTAAAACAACAGAAAATATCCCCTTCATTGCCCCTTATTCGACAACCCTTGATAACTTGATATGATGTATCCTCTAGGATGGAATGCAAACTTGAGGACTAATAGTAAAACTCTTCAGTCCAAACAAAAAACAAAATGTCAGATTATTTGATAATTCTAATAACAATATGAAAAATATTAGTCAGGTCAAGTAAATCTGGCCCATACTATACGCTCTTTCTTATATGAGTATTGTTTATAAAAATATCCAGACTCCGAATCATCCATTGTTTTAAGAATATCATAAGAATATTGCTCAGCCTCAACCAGCATACTTCTATCTCTTCTTTCAGCAGTTGTCTGTTTTGCAAAAACGACATATTTCGTTTTTTCAAAAAGTGTGGTTTCTATTCGATGCTGGCCGTTTGCTTTGAAAACTTTTGCTATTCTTTTAGACTATGTTCCTCTGATTCTGATATAATTCGAAAAAATAAAAATACTTTAAGAATATATTCAGGTTCAAAACGAAATTTTCTCAAAAGTATCGAGGCTGGAAAAAATTGATAGTTCTCTTGTAAAGACGAGTGCTTGCTATGATACAAAGAGATTGCATGAAGATTGCTTTTAAGCATGAATCACTGACTTGCAATTCAAGACCGTCCGGTTTTATACAAAAGGGTATGATGTCCGGGAAATTGATATACTTCCATGAAAGCTCAATGACGTCACCGTAAAGACAGTATGATATATGCGATGTTTACAGACAAATATGAACTTGAAGCAAATTTGCAATTCCCTGCAAAAACTGAAACAAGGAGTGTAACGGTTTGGCTTTCGTATTTATTCAATTTAGTAATGTTCTCGTTGCGTGTTAAAGTCACATGTTCTGTTAAGTCCTGTTGTGTTAGTGAACGCCTTTATAAGGCAATGTGTTTGTCTTTCAACATGTAGTGTGACGCTCATATTGTCCTGTTAATTAGCTTTTGTTTATGTTATTAGGTTATTAGTGTGTGTTTATCACGTTATGAGTTAGTCTTCTAATTGAAGCATTAGAGATAACATCAAAAAAGTAGTATCTATTGTGCGTTACTTGTTCGGGGCTTAGGCCCTTTGGCCTAGCCCATCACTCAGCCAACGACCTGGTTCTTCACCGTCATAACAAGAACCCTTATCGTTACAGGAGATTTGGAAATTTGGGTCTTTTCGTCGTTTTCAGTTCTGTGTCCATTGCACTTGCCTTGGTCCAGTTTCATGGCGCGAAAAGAGACCATGTTCGGCACCAGAACATATCAAGCGAAGGGACTGAACACTCCCGAGATTTGAAGGACGGGACAAAAACCTTACACCGAAACTGCCATAACGATGATGGTTTCTTTGAACAAACAAATGCATTAAAACAGCTCTAGTTTAGACATAGCTGGAATTCACTTCCAACGTGAAAAGAAAAAATTACACTGAATCAATTCAAAGTTTCTTATCTAAAAAATTAAATACAAAAACGAAAGCCATACAAAACTGACTCTGTATAAAATACGTCATTCATAGATACGAGTACAAAGATAGGCTTCCCACCGAGGTACAAAAAGTCAGTAGTTCTTGTCTGAGGTTGTACCAAACAGAAACTACAAGTTAATTACCAGCTATCCTGAATTGCTTTTAAATGAACGATGGTAACTCAACAACGAATTTACAATTGGACTTTTGAAGGAAAAAAGCGCTGAATTATAATTGTTAGGGGTGCCAACAAGTCTTCTTTGAGGAAACATGCATCTGAAAGGATGAGAAAATATTTTTGGGTTCGTTTGGTATAGATCTTGGAGAGGGCATTGCTTTCAGGAGATATTAGTCACATGATAAGGTCTTAAGAGTAAAGAGGTACTCCGTACTATTGTTAGAAGCCATGCAAGTAAAATCTATGTTTAAAATAAAGTAATTAGTTTCCTTCGACATAATCGTAAAGCCAAGGCCTACTTTTGTGTGTGGAAAATGAAGTTCTTACTTGGAACTATTATTGCTTGATCGGGTTTAAGGGACTTCTTACATGATTAAACAAGAAGAACATAGAACGTTACCACATTTTATTTTAAAAATCTTTAAAACACATGACATATAGCTAGATAGTTGTCATCAAGAATCACTACAAAAGGGGCCTATACGAAATACATATTTAAAAAGCTAGTAAGCTGTTAGCAACTGACAGCAAAATTTAGGGTAGGCTAGGTTACGACCGGCTTATGCTAAATTTTGAATTTCAATTGAGGTCATAAGTAAGTTCACATTAAAAAACAGAAAAATTTGGAGATATAACAATCAATCGAAATACGAAGTGAAAACTCTCTATTGAATCCATATAAAGGCAGAAGCTTTAAAAATGTCATCTACCACAAGGCATAGTGGGTAAGCTACTCAAAACGGAAATCACTGGATTCACTAGAATATGCCAAAAGTGGTTGGGTTATCTAAAAATAGTAAAAACTTTTTTAATTGTTTAAACAACAAGCAATTATATTCTAGAACAACACGACTTGTGTAGAATCTGATACCCGCCTTGGAAGGTAGAAACTGCCTGCCTGATTGCTGTAAACACTATTTTGATTTCAAAAGTAGACGTTCATTATTGGTCCAAGCTTTGTTGGAACCTGCCATCAATTTTAAAGACAATTATTCAATAAAGTTATTCAACATCAACTGTTTGCAATCCAATCATTATTCGAAGGAAAGGATTACCAAGAAAATGGTTGGTGGTAACAAAATAGGCCTAAAAATACTTCGAAATGCATCCCTTCACATTATCACCACGCAAGCAAATAGCAAAACTGCTGTAAAAAGGAGCTCAGTAAAATTACTGAGAGTTATTGCTGCAGCTATCTAAATAACATTCACCATTTTATAATTTTGTGCAACGACACAGTGTACACTAATTAAGCTTTCTTTTAAAAAACTAAATCGATTTATTTTCTAAACTGAGCTTTGTTTCCTAAATTTAACTTACAAAAATCAATATTAATCACATCTTTACAAAAATATAAGGCTATAGAAAAGTTAGTCTCTAGTTTGCTTCAAGATATAGTTTTAAAAACTCAAAAATACTTATATTATGTCATCACCTGGAGGTTAAGTGCAGCTGCAAAAGCACTTTTTTTTGCTGGCTCATCTTCTTTGTCTTTTGAATCTAGTATAGGCGATTCATCAACAGATTTTCCCTCACTAGGCCTAGTTTCACTTAAACTACTACCCAACGCCACATCTGATTGGATCTTTTCGGCATCCACGTCTTTCCTCACTGGCGGAAAGGTGCTACTTCCAGACTGTATTCTTTCTTCTTCGTGAGCAACCACTTCGTCTATGGACAAACTTTCTTCTTCTTGCTCAGATTCTTCAGGCGTTGCCGGTCCGCTCAATATTTGTTCGGTAAGCTCTATTTCACTGCGAAATGCCTTCCTAGAAGCTGTAGCTCTCAGGCTGTATTCCTTAGACACGGCCTCGGTTTGCAACAAGCTTCGTTCCACGACATCTCGCAGCCTTCCAGCGTCTCCATGGGAACCTTTACAGTGTGTTTTCTTGTAATGAATCTTAAATGCTTTTTGATCATCAAACTCACTTTTGCATAAAGAGCAAACAAACTTTCCATCAGTTTCCAACGCATGAATATTGGGGAAATTATCTTCCTCTTCAAAAGGATCTCTTTCAATTACTAAAGAGAAGCAAAATTCAAATATTCATAGTGCATTGCCACCAAATAAAGATAGTAAATTTAAAATTAACAACAGGATAAGCTTCATCAATAAAAGATACATTTCATTATCTTATCAAAAGCAGACGTTTTTATCTGATGTCTGAGAAACTAAAACCTACAGAGCTTTGATTTTTATTGAAAAGCAAAATGTTTGAAGAACAGACACACTGCACAGTACAAACAAAATCGCGAGATTTTGTAGCACTCTGTTCGTTTATAAATGAATACGCGAGATAAACTTAAATATAACAAGCATTGTTGTGAAAATGAGTCTTTTATTTCTTCGTCATTATTAATTTATGACTTTCCAGACTAACGGTTTTATCACCATTGTGTGATATCGCTCAAGTATGCACAAAAGTCTTGACTGAATCGCCCGCAAAGTGACTTTTGTTTTCTATTTTCAACTACATTAAAGTGCGTGGCGCAAATTAAGGTGGTCCAAAGCGATGTCTGAAGATAAGCATAATAAAATGTCATTTAATTAAATTTAAATACTTCCTCATTGCTAGAATTAATTATCATTGATAATTATCTACATTCAGTTGGGGTGCTAAGTAATATAGCAATTAAAAACAAACGGCACTGGGTGTGCTAGTGAGACAGCATTGTCAAATCATGTTCAACATTTAAGAAGTTGTGACCATGGCAAGTAAATTTCCTTTCTTTTGCGTGGGAATTTCTACACAAAAGATATCAAAGGTTTATCTGTGTATTGAAAATAGTGCACTCAGGGGAAATAGTGACTGGCGACAGATGAGGATGAATAATAAACGATTGTGAAGATGATAACTGGTGATGATTGTGACTATGCTTGATAGTGATTAATATTGATAATTATGACGACAAAGATAACTGATGGTGATGATTGATGATTATCATTGGCGATTAAGATTGATCGTGATAATGATAGCTAATGACTGTGACGACAATATTTAATGATGGTACTGTGATTGCTGATCATATATAGATGACGATTAGTGATTGCTGATCATTGCTGTTGATTACTGATAGTTGATAAAAACTTAACATCTTCTCAGGACAATATTTCTTAAACTAAGAACAATTTCTCACTTACTATTTAACAGAGAATATCCATGTTATGGGGATCTGTGGCAATGACTGATTGTGATTAATGGTGATTGACAATGACAACTGGTGCTGATTATTAGTGATTATCATTGTAGTTGATGATTGACCATGATACCGATGACTCTAACGACAATGAATTATGATGGTGGTGATTAAAAAATGATGGCTTATTCGAGAGGGGGGCTTATACGAGGAGGGGGCTTATATAATTATTGTAGACAATAAGAAGACATTATTAAAAGACCTTGTTTATTTTAGCAGGAATTTGCTTTATGAGCATTTAATTAATTACTACCAAAAGTACGAATTTGTCGAGGCAATTCAATAAAACGCCATAGGCAACCTCAGATGGCAAAAATCGTCAAATCGAGGGGTCCAATTCGAGGATGTACGGTAGCAGTGGGGGCTTATTCGAGGGGGACTTATTGACAGTTTATAGTTTTAGAGTGGGGGCTTATTCGAGGGGAGGGCTTTTTCGAGGGGGGAGGGGGGGGGGCAATTCGAGGATTTACGGTATTGCTAATAGTCAACTGTACTCAAGAGGATTATAAGTTGAAAATGATAATTCAATTGAACAACAAGACTCTGTAAGGAAAAACTCACCTTCTCGTTCTTCACTCATAATTTCATCATCGATGTCATCATTCTCAAGATCATCATAATCAAACTCCTCATCTTGCCCTTCAACAATGTCTTCTGCATTCACGTTCTTTACTTCTTTGTCGACATCACTAAGACTTCGACCATTTTCTTTCCTTACGTGTACAAGAAGTTCAAGAGGGGTCTTAAAGGTCTCGCCACAGGTTGGATTTATGCAGTTGTATGTCATTTTTTCAGGGGTGCTGCTTGTCATTGCTCTAGAACTTTCATCCGGTAAATCTGATTGCCCCTTCTCTGAATTGTCAGGTACGCACGTCACAGCATCGTTTGGTGATGCTTCAATTGTGTTCGTTTGGTGATGTTCGGCACCCTGCAGTGAACCTTCATTTTTTTCGTTTGCATTACTGTCCTCCTTCGCAAAAGCTTCTTCGGTCTTCGCAGCATCTGCAGAATCTGGTTGGGAGCCACCTTCCAAACTGGCTGTATAGGCATCAACTGAATCTTTCTTGTGGACAAAATACAAATGGGCAGCGAATATTCTTTTGTTGTTGAATTCACGAGGACAGTCTTGGCATTTCATGATTCCATCATCATCGGTTGGATTATTTATCGGAAACATAAATCCTAGTTCGATCTTATCTAATCCGTGAATTCTGGACACGTGTGCTCTAAGCCCTCGCTTTCCAACAAATTTTCCACCGCAAATCGGGCAGTCGGTTGCCACAAGAACCTCCCTTGCAATCTGACGCTCTTCAACCTCGCCTTCATATCTGCCAGCACTAAAAAGGGATCTTCTTTCAGCTGGCGATAACTGTTTGCACCTTATACCATGCCTCTTGAAAATGTGCGTACCAAGACTACGTCTATTGGGAAAGGTCATGGGACATAACGGGCAAAATTCTTTTAGGCCAGTGGATTTACGTCCTGGAATGGTGCATTTATTAGCTGTAGTAGAATCACTTACGACTGGAAAATCGTCATCGTAACGAGAGCCTAGGTTGAGCTTCTTGATACCAATTTTGTTCATGTGATGGTAACGCACTAAATGCATTGTTAGACCACGGCGATTGTGGAAAGCTCGTCGACAAACTGGGCAAATTCTGAACGCCTTTGGATTGCTCTCAGTATCTGCAACAGAGATCTCTTCTGATCCGGTAACATATTGAGAATTATCTAATCTGTCGTTGATCATCGTTGGGCGTTGTTCTGGGCGCCTGCCTTCTTTCAAAGTTCGCACAAGAGCTGCTCCCTTGACTTTGTGGAATTTAACCATATGTGCATTAATGGCTTTCCGAGACGGAAAGGATCGATCGCATCTTGGGCAATCAATCATCGAAGGAAGGTCCAGCTGCTGAAAAGAATTGTCGCTTTCACTAGCCCTGGGCACAACATCAGATGGTGACTTAAACGGTGAGTCTTGCAATGAAATCATATCTGGGTGTTTGTTTTGGAAATGGATTTTCAAAGCTTCAAGATTTTGCAGTTTAGCATCACAGAATTCACAAGGTGCTACACAATTTTCTGTATCATCGTCAACTCTTTGTCTCTTAGGATTTGATGGGAAATTATCCGGTTCGAAAACTTCATTTGCATCTTTGGACACTTGTGACGTCGGCGGGAGTTGATTGCTTGTCCACATGCTTGTTCTGAACTCTGCATGCCGCATTTTCTTGCAATGAATTCGTCGCCCTTTTTCAGTCGAAAACTGATAGTCACACGTACCGCACTGAAATATTTCCCCACTCCTAACCTTCGAGAAAAGGTTTCTATCGCCGCTTGCAGTTGGTTGGCTTCTGTGATGCGTGTCTTTCACCCTGATAGCATGCAATTTGAACTGATGCGTACGTAAGCTTCTAAGGCCTGTAAAAACCCGGCTGCATTTAGAGCAAGAGTAAACAGCGTTTGGACTCAGGTCTTCACTTCCGAGCTCGTTTTTCTTTGGTGTTAAAGTCTGAGCACTGACCTCTTGATGAATCAATCCCGCGCCCGCACTCCCACCATGAACTGATAAGGGGTTGGACATAAACGCCTTCTTTATGCTGCCTGGAGAAGATGCAAGGGGCTTATCGTCAGTAAGCTTATGTACTCTTGTGCGATGGACTTTCCAACCAATGTGTGTAGAAAGCTGCTTGTTACAAACTTCGCAAGTGTAGCAGCCCCCATCTTGGAGTTCTTCACCTGCTTCGAGCTGGTTAAAGCTGCTCTCAGCTTCAATTGTATTGCTTTTACCAACAGCTGCATCGTGAACAACAATCATGTGCTCTCGGAACTGTTCCTGCTCCACAAACTCTGCTCCGCACTGAGAACAAACAAAGCGACTGCGTTGGCTGTAACCATTAGCAACAACCTCCTCAGCTGCGTCATAATGGCTTTCATCTATCGAAGATTGCATATCTGGATCGACAGCATTACCAGTCTCAATATTAACTTCGTAATCTTTCGGAACAGAATCGATATTTTCAAGATCCTGTGACCTTGCATTGCTTTCCTTCTTTTTATCAGGGAAGTGACTTCTTCGGTGCCAAATCAGATGTGTTGAATATGCAAACTTTTGGTTGCAGACATCACATTGGAAATTTTTATAACCGTGCCGCATTCCAAGATGGTTGTTCAGTCGCTTCTCGTTCTGGTACGTGGTATTACAATGGACACATGTATGAGGCGGTAAACCTGGCTCTACTGTTATGATACCATCTTCTTCTGGTGATACAACAACCTCATTATCAGCAACATTGCTTGAGACTGAAATTGAGGTCTGGGTTTGAGAATTACCTGCCTCGTTTTCATGTTCCCGCATATGCCATGTAGCCTGCCCTGAGTATGCAAATCTCTTTCCACATGTCGTGCAAAGAAAAGGCTTTTTTCCATGAACAAGGCCAAGATGATTCTTGTAGCTCTTCTCGTCAAAATATTCAGCGTCACATTCAGAACAATGCCAAACATCTGAAGTGTCTTTTGTTGAATTCTCGTCATCTGCAGCGTGCAGCGCTTGCGACTCACTGCTCCTCCTTGAATCTGGCTCTGCGGTAACAACACTACTGGTAAATTCCTTGTCCACTATCTCCAGGCTTCGACCCTTCTCTATCACCGACATGTCATGCACCTCTTTCAAATGTGCAATGTAAGTTTTCTTGGTCAATCTTTCGATATCACAATACTGGCATTTCCAAGTCTGTGTTGATGGTGACTCAAGGATATTAAGGGAATGCACACCCCGTCTGTGCACCATCAACGATGAAAGATTTGTGAAACGTTTCTTGCATTCCTTGCATGTGTAGATTCTACCAACCTTTGACTGGTACGGCTGGATCTGATGCACATCTCTTAAGTGATCTTCCAACTTGTTCCGGCTGAGGAACCTTTCGGAGCATACAGAACACACGTTCTTCGTTACAGAAGACCTTCTGCTGTGATGGAATGCCTTGATATGAAGTTTAAGCCTCGACCAGAGACGAAATTTCCGTGGACATTTCGAGCAGCTGTAACCATCCCGTGTTAAATGCATTGTGTTGTAGTGATTGACAAGCTGCGACTTCAATGCAAAGAATGTGTGACAAACAGCGCAACGGAACATCTTTTTCATTCCTTTACCAAAAGAAGACATTTCACAATTCCTCACATGATTCTCCAGTTTCTTACTGCTTACAAATTTGCTACTACAGAACTGGCAGCTTAGCTCTTCGGCAGTCTGGCTAACTTCGTTTGCATTTTCAGCCTCGTCCTCGTCATAGATCAAATCATCATCTACACTATGATCAGCTGATTCTCTTTGAGAAACCTGATTGGATGCCGCTTCGGTTACTGAAACATCAATAGCTTGTTGCTGCCTCTTGTGCACTTGTTCCACATGGTAAGCGAGGGTCACTTCGCTTCCAAAGGTTCGATTACACTCGATGCATTTATGCCACATCTCCCTGTGTTTCTGCTCATGCTTTCGAAGTTTTTCCTCACTCCCGAACCTTTTGCCACACGTGTCACACCTGAATGTGCTTTCACTTGCATTATGCGTTGCAAGGTGCTGGACAACGGACGTTCGATCTTCAAAGCGTAGGCTACAAACACCACATCTAAACGGCATCCGTTTGTTATGAACCCTTACTTTATGCATTTGCATATTTTTCGCTGTCAAAAACACTTGCCCGCAATCCTTACATCTTAAGCTCTCCTTACTGTGATTAGCATCAAAGTGTTGACGTAATTTTCGGACGTCAGCAAACTCTTTATGACAAACTGTGCACGTCAGATTGTCCGGATTCGTCCCTTGTTCATCTGCACTATTCACATCTTGAACTGCCTCGTCAGCTGTTCTCTGCGGAGGCTGGTACGGGACATAATCAGGGGACATACAGCTTTCATCTGTCTGCACTGCTATTTCGTTAGTTTTCTTCAGCGGAATAACTAAAATCCCGGACACACCATCATAGCTGCCATAGGGCGGTAGCATTACCGGCTGGTTCGGATTCATAACAACAGTACCGTGGTTAGGCAATGGCATGGGGCAATTGAACTGGTTACCACTGTGCGAGTTGTGTCGTGTACTTGCGTCTGTAGGCCCTTGGTGAGTCATGTGTTCTGGTGCTGGCTGTTTTGCTGGGAGACTGGCCTATTGCTTCTGATTTCCTGGTAACTAGGGTAGTGATGACGTACAGGGTGGGTGACTTGCCCTCCAAATGGCACAAATGCTGAAGAGTTGTGAGATATGGCTGGCTCGAAGTGTACAACTGGTCGGTTAACGTGATTCTGCGCATGCTTGGGATCTCTTTGCCTATTGCCAGATGGCCTACTGAAGACATCTTGAATGATAGGCGAAGCTTTCGAAGCCATAAACGACCTTTGTGTCCTAGAAAAGGATTCAGCTGTGATAGGAAAAGGTGTTTAATCTATATTGTACGTGTTTTGAGGGCAACAATGACCTGAAAGTATCTATTGAACAGATAGATTTAAGAAGAAAAGACAAAACATATTTGAAGCTTGTTCATCGAAATATTGCTTTAATTCATAATTTTCTCCAAATAAAATTAACAAATGAATAAGAAGGGGCTTATTTTCAGAAAAAGGTTCCCCACGAACCCCTTAAAAGGACAGGGAAGGGGCCATAACCCCTTGAAAAGCGGTCTTTGAATCAAAACCGCAGCTTTATAACCAACGCGGGAGGGACCTATTTCCAAGGCATCTTAAAAGAAACACATGATTCCCGTTAGAACTCCTAATTGTTGGTTGGTGATTTCAAGCATTCTTTTAACAGCGATTTGCTTCTAATTCTTCAACCTAATTCTTCTTTATTCGGATCTAAATGTTGATGTTTACTTCTTTATATCTGCAGTGCCTAAACAAATCTTAAAGTTGCTTGACATGAATTTTTTTAGAACCGAAAAAAACCTTTTAAAATCCCTTCATATGACATCATGGGAGCAACCCACAGGATTTCAATAAAGATGAACGAAACACCAAGACTGAAATTCCAGAATGCTTAAATATAGGGGGGGAAGGGGGTTTAAGATTTGCAAATAGTTTTTTATGCTAGAAGAAAGAGACGATGGATTAGGCTAACCGCCCAATTCAATTCTTGCGACGAAAATTTCGAAAAAACCAATTAGGAGGAGCAATGCGAAACAACGAGGAACAAGAGAGTCAGAATTTGAAAATATAATTTTCAAAAAACAAGAATATCAAAATAGAGTGAAGAAAACTGAAATTTCATTTCAACTTAGTAACTTGCACTGGATATTAAACTGGTGCGTAGTGTAGTCATGAAAAAGTGCTATCAAAAATGCTAGAAACTACCCAGCAAAGTCCCTCCGCTAAAATCGAAGCTTTTAATAAATTGAAAAGACGAGGACACTAATCAAGGAAAGCGTGTTTCTTTTGTAGTCCCGTTCAATGATTTTCATAAAAGGCAGTCTGAGATAAAACGAAATAAAGGGAAGGAACGCTTAATTATTGATAAAATGATCCATAAACATTTTTGCACGGTGCTTCATCTAGATTCTTCTATTGCAGAGTGAAGCAACAGGCTGACCAACTGTGGACAGTCGAGCAGTTGAAGGGGGTATCTTAAGTCTTTTTCGGCAGCCTGGTTGAGTATTATAATATTTGTGAACAATTTGTTTTAAGCCTCGCTATCGTTATAGAAATTCGCAAGACCACCATAGCCATTCAGTGAATGGATACTGCCCAGGTTAACATTTACTGCGTTGGGTAACAAATAGGCTTGTTGCCCTAGGCAACAGCAGCCGAAAACCCAAGCTTAGGTTGAGACAAGAGTGTGCTTGTTTGATTTGTCAGTGGCTAAATAAAAAACCAAATACACCATAGGCCGTCTTGCTGCTCTAATATGTGAAGCCTGGCAGGATAGCATTCTCTCGCTGTTTCAAAACATTTACTTGGACAGTGGCTGTACAAATTAACGACGAATATACGTAATGCCAAGCAGTAAGGAAAAAGCTATTAACTCCCATTGGTGAAGTGAACACAAGTATTCAAATATTCAAAATGCCTCTCGCTTCCTAGGACAAATAAAGTCTTTTAAGGCCCACAATAAGTATACTTTTACATTAACCATATTCTAAACATTATGTCATGCACAGATTTTCATCAACTTTTGAGATGCTGGATTGTTCGTAAAATTTAAACAATTTACACTGACTGTAATAAATAAATATAACTGCTTTGCGCTGTAATTTCCAAAAATCCCATGCAAAAAATGTTCCTAAATATTTTGCCGTAATAAAACGTTCCTAAATGTTCGTAAATATATAATAAAAATGATTGTCGAAAAGCAATTTCAGTAAATAAAATCAATTCTTCTCCGAACAAAGTAACCCTGCGAATAGGATTTTCAAAGATCTTGTTACGGAAGAGATGAATCAAATTTTCAAAAATTGCAAAAGTGATTACAACAAGAAATATTTTGAAGGAGTTACCTTATTTGATGCTGTCCACTTTGCCTTGTTGCGTTGCTGTTCTCTCGATGAAACGAAACTTCAGAAATTTGATCCGCATCCGGTACGTCACTTTCGTATGTTGGTACTATATATTCTGTCTGGCCGGACCTCGATACATTGTTGAGAATATCTTTTGACGTGTAAGTGATCCCGTTTGCCAACAGATAGCCTCTTTGCTGATGCCTAGACCGTACCGTTGTGCAATTGATTATTTTTGGCATATTGCGATCTCGGTTTTCTGACACATGCAACGGATCTGTTTGCTGGATATTGCGGAATCTATCATTAGTTGTCCGGATTCCACTCGTTCTTTGTTGCGGCTCGCCCCAACCAGAAGGAAATATGACACGTGACTGAGGGGTTCCACGATCGGAGCTTGTTGGAAACACATCACCAACCTGTGAGTCAAATTAAAACTATGATAGAAACGTGAAGATGGGTACATTGACATTATTTGCAGAGGCTAATGTTTCCTCTAGAAACAAAACGGTCTAACAGCTTCTCCAAAAACAAGAACAAAAACATTTTAGCACAACCAAGAATACAGCTAGTTTAGGGGTATCTAAATTTACATTCGAGTGCGTTCACCACGGAGGTCTTATGAAATATACCCTCAGAAACGCGTACAGCATGCGCATCTTGTGCGGGTAAGCGATCACCACGGAGGTCTTATGAAAGGTGCCCTCAGAAACGCCTACAGCATGCGAATCTTGTGTGGTTCAACGAGCGTAAGCCCTGACAAAACGACTAAACCTTTTCGCTCAACATTTCACAAAACTTTTGTTTAGTCAAATTATGTGAAGTTTAGCGAGGGTGGCAAAACGTGACTAGACTTTTTTCTAAATACTTCAGTAAACTATTTGAACTGCGAGCCACTTAGGACACTGCGCGGGCTGTGGGAAACTTGGTGGGACATATTCAAACATTAAAAAATGATGGAGGACACAAAGCGTAAATTTTAAACGGAAAATTTCTTCAGTTTACCATACGGTGGCCGTTTTTGATGTTCTCGTAGCGTTTTCCGTTATCTTGTTATCCCTAACGCCCTTTACTTCTTTAAACCCGCTTTTCAATTCAAAATGGCTTTAAAAAAGCAAACGTTTTGAGTCATACTGAGCTCTTCGTCTGACACTTTTCAGAGTATAAAACGTCAGATCGAAAACTCTATGCTAGAAAATACGTCAGATAGTCAGATCAAAAACTCTATGCTAGGAAATATATATACCGAATTGTGGATCGAAACCGATGAGAAAACGCGAGCACATGACTGTTGATATTTTTGCCAGTTCTTTAAATTCATTTTCCTCCCTGCGTTGGGTTGCTTGGTCTTCACTTACAATCTTGACAAGGATCAAACTTTGCTCAACAACACTCAAAACGATTAAAGAACACTAGACAGGGTTGCAAAACGAATAAACTACTCACTAAAAAAATTGGGGGAAATGTTTAGTGAAGTGTTTAAACGTTTGACCAGGGCCTTAGGGGAATTTTTTTCAAGCCCGGGTAGGAAGTAGCTAACAACAGGTTTAAACGAAAATTGTATTGTAAGTGTATAACAACTAGGAGCGAATCTGACAGAGATTGTGAAATCCATACTTTTCACTACCCACCAGCCCTAGGGAAGTTGAAAGCTATGAAAACTACGGGCAAGATCTCAAATTTTGGAGAAAATATCCCTTTTCAAACATTTGCCCTCTTCAGAACATTTATTAAGTGCCTCTTTTTAGATACGGTGCTTGTACCCCTCCAAATTTCAAAGGCTTCCAAAGTCCCTGTCCAGCATTCTTCTCTGGAAGGTCAAAGTGTGGGGCTGGTAAACCCCCCTAAGGTATAAATGTGACCGGTTGAGTGTCACTGAACATCTTCATAAATTTGCAAGGAGGGGTTCTTTGCGAAAATACCACGATCATATCCAGAGCAGACATAACTGTCGTCCTTTTACTTGTGTGGCAGAAAATGATTGTTGCGGGGCGATTACTTGAGGTCGAGTGGTTGCTTTTTAAAGACAGTTGTAATGAGAGACTTGGTAGTAGTATTTCAGGACACATGTGGTTGACATATAAAGTGAACGATGGAGTTAATTGGTTTGATTTTTCGTCTGACTGTGTTGCTGTTTGTCTAAATCGATACATTGAGACAGGATTGTGGTTTTAACACAACTGTTGATAAAACTGAATTACCTGAATAGCAATGCATCAAAAGCATCAAATATCAGGTTATAAAACGGTATTTTGAATAACTTCGGAAGATTATTTCATCCTTTTAGATTAATAGCTATCAATTTTGCAGGTACATCATTCCTAATTTAACATGTGTATTAGGATAATAATTAAAGCTTGATTTGTGGGTATTTTCAACCAGCATTCCATGTTATTCTAAAAATATGCTAATGGTATTGGACCCTCTAGAGGTTTGGCAGCAACGTTTGCAAACCTTTAATTACCTGGGCATTACAAACACAACAACTTTGTAACAAATGGTACCTACAAGTGCTAAAAAACCAACCTGGGGACTTCTTAGTCGATCATTCACTAGTATGACGTCATCATCATCGTCGTTTTCGTGGTCTCGTTCAGAAACGGTATACCCTCCGTCCACATCGAGGTGGGAGATACGATCTGTGTTCTGCGACTCCTGGTTCGCAAGCATCGCATCCCTGGCACTGCCACTGACAACAATGATGTCAGTCCCATTGCTACTGACTATAACACGAGGAGCTGCAATGAAAACATAGAAACATAACACACTGTTTTAGCGATATAAATTATAAACATTTCTAATATAATACAAAAGTATAATTTATTCATTCAAAGTTAGAGAATTACAAGGGGGAAAAGCTAATTAATGCCAAATATAAAAAATAACCCCAATCAATTACAAACTAGAACTTTAAAACCTTGATTTGAAATAGTTTTTTCACATACCTTACCGCTACAATCAAACGCTTTGATTGTTCGAATATTCTTAAAAAAATCTTAAAAAATTTGGACTCTTGAATCTAAAGTAGCAGGGATCGCACCTTAAGTTATCTATACCATAAAGACTATACGAAATATTTTGAACAGGAACAGCTGTAAATTCTTCTGGCGCACAGATACTGAGATAATACTCATATTCATCATAATTTAAGTTTCTTTCTTTGTCTAAGATTCATAAGGCTTGTTAATGTATCTTGCTGATCCGATAACTGGATTTCCTGTCATGAAACGTCCACACAAGTGGACAATTATGACATGGGGCCATTGTTGATTATATTATTACTTTCCATAAATCTTGACACCCTTGCAAATGCACGGAGCTTCTGAGTCTTTTTCTGATAAAGGTTATTAAAAGGACTTTTTAAATTCGTTTCACACCGAGAATCAATTTTATTTATCAAAGGCCCAAAAATATTAACAGCTACTTTATCATTGTCTTTTTTCCCAAAGACAAGTTGTCAACGCTGTCATCAACATTTATATAAAGTTAATTTTATAGTGAATGACATCGCTGTATCTCCTTCAAGCGACTATTTGATTGGGCGCAGATCTGAACCAATAGCAGGACCGTCGACAGATAGCAGGACCGTCTGCATGGTTAAAGTATGCCCAGGAAAAAATCATAAAAATAAATGATATGGGGAGCGCCAAAACCGAGTCTTGGGGAAGGCCAATACCGAGTCTTGCAAAGAACAGTCAGCAATAAATAGTGGTAGAAGGGGTTAGGTCAAGTTAAGTCAAATAAAGTTAATGCACGTCATATAAAGGAAAGAAAATTTAAGAAAAGGTCAAAAAAAGACAGAGCGAAATTAAGTCAAAGCCAAACTAGGTCCAAGCTAAGCCAAGGCAGGCCAAATGAAGTCTAGCTAAGACTGATCCAAAACAAATCTTTTCTTTGTTTTTCTTTGTAACAATGTACAGGTTATTTGACTTGCTTTATGAGAAACGAGCATTGTTTACACGACCAGTCTAGCTTATTGTTTAAGTTTCTAAGTAATATGCAATTTCCTAGGCACGAAATGAAACGGAAAACGAAAAAAGGCTGGGGCTAGCCCATCCTATCAAGGAATTTCTAAAACTAGGCCGGACTTTAAAAATGTCGACAGCATACACTGTTTCCTCTGGTTTAATGTGATTTCCGGGGTTTCAGTTCACTTTTTTTAGACAGCTTTTATAAACTGCTCTGTTCGTTGTAAACTATTCAAAAATCTTGGAAAAAGCAAACATTTTGTATCATACTAAAGCTTTTCATCAGAGAGTCTGAGAATAAAAAACGTCAGATCACAAGAACGTAAAAATATGTTCAACGCAATATACTTTTCAGAGGATAAAACGTCTCAATATTTTTAAATTTTGTACCAGAAAAAGATTGTTTGTATACATATCATTATTTTGTGGCAGAGGAGGTGCATTGTCTATAGGTAAAATTTCGACAGGGTTTATGGAATAATTACGATCAAACTCGAACTTCTTCCAAATTTCGTAAAAATGTGAATCTAACAAGAACCGAGACTTGACTTTTCATCATCTCCCGAATCTGCATTTGAATAATAACACGGCTTAGTTAATAAAAAAATACCGGTTGTGATTAAACTGAGGCAATAATGTTGCAGCCTGCCTGCAATTTATCGTTGTCTTGGGAAATTACAGAGAATTTGCATTTGCGGTTTTAGGAAAATCCTAATTAGCCTTTTCGTAGAATACGCCAGATTTTATGATTAACAAATCAATATACTCTGCCACCTGCCAAGATCTCTCAACTAACCTGAAACAGAAGTGCTGTTTACGATAAGCAACAATTGAATGCTGCAAGAGTGAAATTGTCACTAGTTTGAATCCATCGTGCTTTCTTCATTTTAAAAAAACTACCATCTAGCTTTTCATCCCATTGCCTCTTCTATCAAAGTGCGCTTAAACTCAAATAACTTTCTAGTCCTTGAGACAAGGTTACCAAGTTTTGGAAAATAATACCTGTGAGATTTCATGAGCGCAGCTAGCGAACAATGGAACTGGGGTGCAGGGTTGGGGGCAGAAGAATTCCGAATTTTAGTAGATCTGGAGTGCTCAAATGACTGAAAACTAGACCATCCATAATGCCTAAACATTTGTTCATTTAACATTTAAAACATTCCAGAAAAACAAAGAGAACAGGCTTTTAAACGTAAGAATAAACAATCGAAGCAATGAACAATAATAATCTTGTATACTACTGATACATTAACGCGTTTGACAATCATTCGCGCAACAGGTCTGGGCAAGTGATTGTCATAAACAATGTAGTGGAGCGTTTGATCTGAATTGAAAGAAGAATGAGGCCCAGGCAGGGCTGTCGAGCTTCCCTGAGACCCCTTGTTGATGCCAAAAATTTGTAAATTTCTACTTTTGCTATTGTTTTTCACATCATTTTGTGCAAGAGCCCCCCTTGTTATTTTGATAGCACCACACCATTGGGCCCAGGATTTTTCTCTCGACGTTCCTGCAAAAGTTGTTGGGCGGTTCAAAATTTCAGTGAGGGTTTTATGAAACAAAAAAATTGCTTTGGACTTATAATCGTGCGCATCGCATCCATCCCCCTCCCCCTCTAGCTGACGCCAGTATTGGGACATTCCCAGGCAATTGTGTCAATGGAACTTCCATACACGGAACAAGAATCGCAAAGGAGCTAAAACTCTTTGCCCAACACAAATATTTGAGGTCACTATAAAAACTTACAGCTAGCCATTCCATGCATATATTCAGTAATGACTATTTCAGAACCTTTCAATGCCTAACACTATTCACATGGAGGTAAACATACGGCAAACGAATCAGATTACTTTTATAAGCACATTGGTGCATAAAAATGAATGTCGTGGTATTAGAAATCGCAACAACAGTGGCTTGACAACTTACCATCACTTTGCTCAGAAGATTGCGCATCTGTCATGTTTGCCATTACTGGACCATTCCGTTGGATTAGCTCAAATCTGCCATTTTGAGGTGGCCTCGAAATTTCACTGACTGGTTCGGCTTTAATATGAGACGCTGTATGTTTGGTAAGTGCGGCCAAACTCGTTTCACAGAATCCACACAAATGACAACTATAGAGAGTTATCTGATCACTGTCTGTCATAATTAACACCACGTGACCAGCATTCTATGCGATCTCTGAAATAGAATACATTTATTATTAAGATAAGGCCAACGCACAACCCCCTTAAGAGTTAAACTTGCCATTTCAATCATGGCAGAAGGAGAAAATGTCTTAATTATTTGTGAACAATCTTCCAATCTTGCTTCCTCAGCTATTACTTCTTAGTATGATCTCTCTATACAATTATCCAGCCTGAAATAACCTAAAACTTTGAAAAGTATTGTTCACAATAAAACTTCGACGGCAGTTCCCTAATTTAAAGAAGTATCTAAAAATTGTCTGTATGCTCAAACAACTCTTCATCTTACAGCACGACCAGGTGTGTTAAAATCATTATCAAAAGGAGCCTTGAAGCATGATTTACTCAATAGAAATTTAGCCTGGCAGGTGACGTTCTGATAAAAGGTTGTTTCTAAATTAATATCCATGATACTTGTTTAGGTGGCATTTTTAGTGGCAAATTTTAGAGCCCTAGAAAATCAAAGAAGATCAGGCGTGGCACGGACGTACTAAGCATTGAATAAAGTGCAAAGATTTTGGAATCACGACATAATTTCTTTCAAAAGTGGTATGTGCTTCTAAATTAGCATCGGGTAGCTGTAAAGCAGATAATACACCACAAAAACAAAGCTTCTTATGTAGTTTGAAACAAAAGCTGCAATAAAATACTGGACTGTTCAGTAGCTTTTAAATTACCATATATCCACAGCGGTTTCAGGTCAAACCAAAGAATGCGGCCTACCACTGACAAAAGCATTAAGTAATGGTAATCTCGGGATAGGAGAGACGTTTTCCGTGGCATTTCCATTCTCTACACGAGATTCTAATCGAAGCAATTCAAGGATTCGTGAGAATAATGAAGCCATCAGCTTGTATTATTAAGAGGTACCAGTGCCTTGCTAGAGAGTTCACCAAAGTCACCATAAAGTGCGCAAAAAGCTGGAATATGTTGCTTAAAACCTTCAACATAATCTTAAAAAGCAACCAATCACGTCAAACGCCTCCCAAATGTCATTATTGCGTGAAGATCTCTCGTTATTGCAAACAAAGATAATTTTCCCAAAGCACTCTATCAGGTGGGGCTCTCTATCTATTCAAGCCTTTTGCAAATCGCCTCTACTTTTGCCTCTTTAGTATTTGGCGAATTGACAAGAAATTTCAACCATTTTTCTTTATTTACTTTTTTCTGACGGTCCATCTTCTTATTTTTTGAATAATTTGAGAGTCAGGTGTTTTTAATGTTGTTCTCATTTCAAAACAAAAACTAATTTTCTACTACTACATAACATTTGTTGCTACTATGATGACGAAAAAATAGTAGGTTTGCATGATACTTTAGTAGCATGGTTAATTAAGACAAAAAAATCACAAATACATTGTTTTTCTTCAATTTTTCACTTGGGGCCGGGCAGTCAAAATGAGCCACTATGTGTTGTTATAAAATGTGCTCTTATAACGAGAAAGCATTAACTGTGAAAAGAGAATATTTTCAAAAAATGTTTATGTTTGGTAGCCAGATTCTTCAGAAATGTTTCTCGTGAGTTCGCACTAGTTTGTAGTGTACACTTTAACAGCTAAAATTTAAACAGAAAACTTACTGGGAAGTCTAAAATTAGGCGCGTAAGACTTAACAGTAATAAAAACAAATCTTTTTAATCAGAAATAATTTTTTTTCAAGGTTTAGCTACAGCAGGAGAAGCAATCTAGTGCTGGAAAATGCGTGACTTCTTACGAAAAACTTGAGCAAATGCATATGCAAATGTATACACCTCGGAGAGCGTACAAAACCTTTGTGTTGTATTTGATGATTTGTCAAACATGATCCTATAAAAGGAGCGACACAGCACAACGAACATAATGGCTGAAATCGGATATCATGAAATTAAACTTCTCTTAATGTATGACAATTATAAGGCTTGACGTTCAGGGCTCCACGTAAAACACAGCTGCGAACAAATTGACAACCGCAATAGATGCCATTAGTTTCAAGCATGTACTTGAGGATTCAACAGATGAAAATGCTTTTCTTGTCAACTAAATAGAGCTTCCTGTCACTGTTTCTAGTTTGATAAAAAGCTAGAGTTTTGTCACGTCACTTTGAAGGTTCAAGTAGCCTTCTTCATAGAGAACAAAAAATGCTACCATGGAAAGGAAATTGAAATACGTAACTATATTTTCCATTTCCAAGGTGTTCCAATCATGCTTGTCGATTTTTTTCGGTTTGCGTGTCATGCGGTAGAACAATTTCTATACTATCTATAAAAGCACCCGGTTTCAAAATATTCACTTTATTCGCTAAATTCATTTTATGATACATTAAAGTACCAATTTTTTAACAACAAAAACTCTTTGACAAAATCTTACATTTTAATCAAAGCATTTAAGACGAATCTTAATAATTATTTTTCATTGTATAAATATAGATAGAATGACACTGTTCCTAGGTTTTGAGAAGTTTTAGGCGACAGTTGTTCTTAATTATCAATAATTTGAATACGCAAAGCCATTTATCACTCTTTTGCAGAGCTGGATAGCAATAAGGTGGTAGCACAAGCCAATGGCTTTAGAGTGGCTTCAGAGCATCGCACGGGTTTCCTCTGAGATAACAACAAAGAACTGAGATATGCTTTGTAATCTCTTTTAAAAAGAACAGCTTCAATGGTTTATGGTTAGAAGTAGATAAGTAGCTAAAACCTCCAAGCGCTCGAGTTCTGAGAATATTAAGAGAGATCCATAATTCTTGACAGCAACAAACAGATCGCCTTAAATCTTCAAAAGAGAACCTTGAAATCACAAGCAACAACGATATCCTAACACTATGGCATGTTGGAGGAGATGCAATTCGAGAAAATATTTTCATATTTTTTTCAAGATCAAGAAAATACACGAAATAGTAGAGCATGTTCTAACTTGTAACACGGCCGAATGATTATGGCTCGATTTGCTTTTCTGAACGTCTGAAACACAATACAATGAAACCAAATATTCACCACTTCTTGAAGACAATCATCTTGGATTTAAGAATTAATAATTAAATTTCAAACCCAAACCCGCCAGGGTAAAAGGTCATTGAATAAACAAAACAATAGCATACAGATCTGGGAATTATTTGTTAGTAAACATTTCAAAACAATTTAAAGATACAAAAATATTAAAGCGACAAAACAAAATCAGTTTCTATAACCGTATAAAACCGTAACTCTCTAAAATCCATAATCCGTTATTCACCATTTCAAAAAATTTATCGCTATTTTTCCCGACTTGCTTTCTAAAAGGACAGCAATTTATTTTATTGTGCATTATTATCATTATTGTTATTTAGGTGGGGCAGGATTGCTTCCCTACAGCTAACACTCTCTCGAGGTTGGTAAACAAGCACCGAGGGAATTCATTCTAGGACTAAACTCTAGGGGCACAATCTGCAGGTCAACATCAACGCCGTTGCATTAGGATAAAATTCTTGCTTGCTTGCTTGATTTGCTCGTTTGTTTTTCTGCTTGTTTGCTTTCTCGCTTACTTGCATCGCCCCAAGAGGAACCCTACAGCATGACAAAACAATGTTTTAAAATAAAGCTGGTATTATCCGCATGATTTCCAGGCCTCGCCAATTCACAAAATCAAATTAATAACGATGTTTATCTCGTGCCTGAAAATGTTTGAATGAAGGCTCTTTACACAATATGGTTACGACAATATCAATTTTTATTGTCTTCATCGGATCCAAACCGACATAGCTAGATTGCGTCCTTTGTTGTCGATCAACAAGCCAACAGAAAGAAAAATGCTTGTTGAATTTTGTCTGTGCGAGTTAGAACAAATTGTATCAACGGTAAATACAAAATCTTATCCATCAAACAAAACCGTATAGTGAAACGTCTTATACCAATGAACTAAAAATTATTTTTAACTTGATCTACTCTTCGTAACTAAACAAAACGGGAGCACCAAGTCGATACCAAAGAGGAATATAATATAAATAACCATCAAACCAACAGCCATTTTTTCAAAATCAAAGTTGAAAAGAATGTATTTTATGTTTTTTAACGACCTCTGACACATTTTTTACGTGAACAAAATGATGATATGTGCCGAGAATCAATGTTCTTATTTTTTGGATAATCAAGATTGCAAAGAAAAGGAAGTTACATACAAATAAACTTCCTTTGAAAAACAGACAGCTTCAAACGCCACTGAAACTTAAACATGTTCTGTTGCGTGTCTGAAAGGAGATTCAGTTTGAAATTTAATACCTTAGCTGTCACCGGAAAAGATCATTGAAATTCTATAACCGTTTCACTGGACTTTCCCGTATTTCAATGTGACATTCTATCCATAAAGCTGGTGAAAGGAAAGTGTAGATAGAATTTTCACTGGAATAGAAAACATCCAATGAATAGAAAAAGTACTCAGTTAAAAAGATAATATCTGAAGGTGGTAAGAATAGAGTTCAAAAATAAAGTGCATATAATTTGACCATATGTAAGAAGGCAGTTCCATCAATCAGTTGACAGTTGAATCAAAAGTATTCAAGATATATTTGCAATTGAGAAGACACAGTTAATTTGCATTACAGACAATTCAGAAGAAAATATCAAAGATTAATTAAACAGCAAATATGCTTAACTTCGACAGAAGCACTTCCTGGCCAGAATTCTTTAATAAAAGAGTTATTGTAAATACATATAATGTTTATTAAAAAACGAATCAAGATTAAACAGACCAATATATCAAATCATATAGATGCAGAATGTTTTTGCTAAAGGACTTGAACTGGTAAACATGCTAATGATGATGTTGAGGTTGATGATCAACAATTGTGATCATAATCATAATCATACTCTAATGAGGATAATGATAATGCCAATGATTATAAAAATGATTATATTGATTGAAATCAAATGTAAAAATTTAGATTCAGTGGCAAGTAGAAAGGAGGGAAGCAAAAAGTTAAAGTTTGTGCTAAAGATAATTAAAATTGCATATCATTAAAAAAGCCTGATGTGCTAAAAAGGAAAAGCAAAAATGAAAAGTATTTTTTGATTTTGTGAAAAGAGGATAAGGTTATCAAATGAACAGCTGATAGCAATGAAAAGGGTGAAAGAAAAATGGGAAAGCAAAAGTAGTAAATAAGGAAACAATCAGTCCAGTTAAGTAGAAGGAGCTATTCATAAAGAAATATATCAAGCAGCAAAAACCAAATTTGATTAATTCTTTAGTTCTTAAATTCTTTCATTTTCAAACAGCCAACAAATTCACCCTAATTAAACTGGAAAATTTTATTAATGTAGAATGTCTTTATTTTGTCTGAATTCATTTGGGCTTCTAAATTCATTTGCTCTAGCAAAATCTATTTTCAAAAAAGAAGATCCACCAAGCAACAAAGCACTTCAAATTCAAATAACAATTTACAATGGAATGTTTCTACCTTCCATACAATTTTGCATCAATCATTTGGAAATTAAATTTTAATTAGTATGGGGCTGCATTCAAAATCCTAGCTAAATGATATAAATTTTGACTGTCAATCTCAATGAGCTAATTGATAGCATTAATTAGAATCTTATTATAAAATTTCAAAACAAGTAACAAAGCAAAAGTTTTCTGTGACATGCAGGTATAAGATGACCTTACGCGAAAAGAGACCATCAAAATAATCACACGCAGCGAATGTCCGGAACTCCTCGTTTAAATTTGAATAACAATAATCTACTTCAAAGTTTACCAGAAGAACTTCAGGCAAGTTATCGATTTCACTTTCTGATGTTCTTTGGAAGCATTTGAACAAGAACCGGTTTTGTTTTGAAAGAATTCTATACAAATGTGGCTTTATCCTTAAGTCAATTGTACTTGTTTTAAATGAGAGTATAAATTTATTCAGGTTGTCAAAGAAGGCTTTTATAAGCTATTTAATATGGGATTGTTGACAATGGTGCGTTTGCGACTAAAGCAGCCCACTGACAATCACGTTTTGAAGAAACTCCACCTTACTAGACACTATTCCATCAAAACAAAATGTGTATTCTACGATGAACCCTTCCAAATGCTCACATAAAAGTAATATTTCCCATTGCGGTTGACAGATCAAAAATCCAGCTGATGCGAACTTTGCTCAGAGTAATTAGGCAATTCTAAATAAAGCAATCTAGAATTTCTTCTTACCTTCTGACCGGAAACCCCTGCTCCCTAAATTCAAGTTTCAGTATTTTACCAAACAGCATTAATTTCTAGCAATGCAGAAGTGAATGTCACACGCCCTTTGAGATCGCCTAACTTCCTTCAATATCGCAAAATGAACAGCCTAAATCAATAACAGCGGTCGAGCATTGAAAGATTGTGGATGTAGTCCAAATATCGAGTGCTCAAAGAAAATCCCTCAGAAATTGCGAAAATGCTCTCCAACTACACTATGCTGTAAGTACAGAGCAGATAAATCCAGAACTTATTTACCCGATGAGAAAGTATCCACGGGGGTGTTGATAAGAGAAACAGTGGTTGCAAATCATTCTTTGTTGAAACATCACGGCCTGAAGTTTCTTTGATCGGGGCTTTGCTGTCAGGCTAAAACGTGTGTCAACAAACAGTGATGGCATTTCACGAAAACTTTTATTAAAGTGAATTACCATATGAATTGAAAATTTGCTGCAACAGAAGACATGAAATCGAAAACTGAATATCAATTAGGAGCTTCATGATTTCGAGAAGATCTGCTCGAATAAACCATAACACTTACACATAGACAGACCGGAGGCAGCCAACCACATCAAATTTAGCAAACCTTCACAAAAGTTTCTTCTAGGACGTTGCGACTTGATTTACACAAACAAGTTCTTTTGCTACTTTCATGCGGGTCACTAAAGTATTTAATATTTTATGACGGCCTACGAACTTCATTGATGTAATGAAGAACTGATTCGCAACTGTTGAATACAAAATTCCATTTACCAATACACTACTGCTTGCGAATTAAGTCGTTGATAGCAGCACAAATTTCGTCGCTTTAAATATCGATTTTAAAAAGCAGAATCGAGCAGCTTTACCTTGAGGTTCACGTTGCTGTTTATCCATGCGTGGTCGTACAGCAAATGTGAATTATGTCTAGATATTTTGTTGATGTCTGCTGCGCCTTTCGTCTTTGAAGCGCAATTCCAAAAGAACTCATCAGAATTGATTCCTCAAGTGAAGGCGTTGTAAAGGTTTCACATGTATGTTGCCTGTCAATCAAGCATACCACCAATTGTTCGGAAGGAGTGAAATTGATAGATCCCGGATGAGGTTCATGGCATGTTAATGGCTTCATTTTCTTTTATGGCAGATAATTTTGAAGGTGCAAGGAACATTACAAGTTAGTAAAAGCATCACGGAAAACGGGAACTTTGTTTATCAGTCAAGAGAAAAACGAATTCAGCGGTCGTGTGCAAGAAAGTCCAAAATATCCTTCTTTAGTCATAAGGAACCACAGGAGATTTTTTGGGAGCATTTTACGCACCGGTGTTGGTAAATGCTCCCAGAAATTTCAAGAAGTAGGCAGCTTCTGTAGGGCTGTAATGGCCAGGGGCTAAGACATAGGGCTTTCTCTCTGCTCGTATTTGAGTCACGACGAAGTTTCTATTCTTGTTGCTGAAGAGATTGAAAAAAATAAATGAAGGACTTTGAGAATTTGGACGCAAGTTAGTCGTGATTATTTCTGGCCACATAACAATCCCCTTTTTTCAAATACCTGTTTTTTCTTAATTATCGATGTAAATAAAAGCGTTTTATCAATCCAAGGCTTGAATAAAAATCCCGAAACTAACCAGAAATTCTTTTAAAATGCCCTTCACAACTTTATCACCACTGCAGTGTGTGAGGAAAACAATGATGCATTGAATTGATCGTAACGCTTTCTTCAATTTTCTTAAAATATCTTAAGAGTTTTGTCAAGAAATTCATCTTATCAAACACAGCAGGTAAAATTGAATGATGAGTATTTTAAGAAACCAGATATTGCAAGATGATGGAAAACATTTTCATGGCTCACGGAAAACAGGATATTTTCAAATAGCTAGATCTTAGGAACTTTGGAGTAAAGCCAGAGCTTTCCGAGTGAATAATTAATTTTGATTTTGGCTTTAAAACATTGTAAATTTTAGAGAGTGAGAACTGAGAATACCCTGGAACAAATGATGTACTAAAGACAAAGGTTGGCAGAAAATACTGAATACATTCAAAAAAGTATTGGAATGACCCGCATCAAGCTACACTCTGATGTTCTACACTAGGGAAATGCTTTTCATGAAACTGCCTTCCACAGACGTGCGAAATACATTAAGCCGTCAATTCAGAGAGTTATTAGTTGACAGCACTTTTGTTAGGCGCGTCACAATCTTTCACCCGATCCTCTGATATTTAAAAGACTTTAAATTATTCTCGTCGCTTGATCAAATATTAAAGCTGGATTATGAGGATATTCCCCCCTTCCGTTTGCCCGAAGTCAATAAGCATTTGCAGTTCGAAATTGCTCTTGCCTAGGCCGAGAAGAAATTGTTTTTTTTTCAGAAAGAAGTATTTTGTTTTCAACTGACAAGAAATATAAAATACTCTCTTATATTTGCAGCATTCTATCTTGAACATTGAAGCTAGATTTCTTTGCAATAAAGTAACTTCAAACTTTAGACCTTCTTTGTAAATTAAGCACCTTGTAATTGAATGGATTTCTGCGCGACACCTCAGCTGGCGACGGGGGAAGCTTCATGCCGACAGAAAACAGGAAGGCATTCTGAAGACGATTAAGTCTAGCTAGCATGTTGCATATCAATTTTAAATCGATCGGGAATTACTTTCCAACAAGGCTTTCATCAGAAGAACATCAAGATGCATGCTTATATTGTTTTATAATGACGACTTGTTTTGTAAGATGCAGTATTTGAGTGCAGCTTCAAATTAGTCAAGCTGTTTACAAGGCCGGGCGTTGATGGCAAAACAGCCCGCGTGAATTTCACATTGTCTGAATAAATAAAAAAATCCTTATCGATAGCGAAAATATTAACTAAAGGAAGTCGCATAAATTTCTTGATTTATGATTGCATATCAGCTTCTAGATCGATGGTTCCTGTCTATTTGAGATAAATTTTGGAACCACAAAGAATAGCTGTTTTAAAAATATGGGTTTCATTATATTGATATGATTAACTCGAGACATGATCTGAAAGAGCCAATTCAATCCTTTATAAATTCTCTTTACATGATCACAATTCAAACTTGTGATGTGGATTTTAAAATTCTGAATCAGTGGAAACCACGTACTTAAGGGCCATACCACTATTAGTTCTCTTAAGTTACAAATCGTCACTTCTCATGCAAATATTTCCTTTTCTTTTAACACGCTTTTTAACAAGTATTTTTTAACAAAACATCAAGAAAAGGCCTTCGTATTTTAAGCCTTTTAATTGTTTAAGACACTGAGTATTTGAGGTTTTTTTTAAACAAAGTAAAGTTTGAAATTGAACAAGAGAAGCTATGATCCAATATTTCTACATTCGGATACCTTGGCAATATTAGCAGCAACCAAAAAATTGAAGTGACAACACGCTGTAACGTGTAACCGGAAAGAGTGTTTTAAAACTTCAAAGAGAAATTATTTCAACATCTTAATGAGGTTTAAATGCTATCATAAAATCCTGTATTCATCACGGATACATGTTTTCCACGTGAATTGCTAACTGTACCATTCTTGGTATCAAGGTATCCGCTTGCAATTCCTGGTGCTTCTAACAAGGGGAGATGGAACTTACAAATGCTATTAAATAACCCAATTCTGACTTGCTATTTTCTTACAAATGGGTTCCTTGTAAAATCTACGAGTGTGGGTGAAATATTGAGTTCAAATTGGAAGAGGGCATGGAATAAATAATGCAGATGCCATAAGAATTACTTACAGTTTTTTGGCGGTACAGAACTTGGAAATGGCTTTGAAAAAAGCAAACATTTTATAACATATTGGCTAAAAGCTTTTTCGTCTGACACGGAGCATAAAACGTCAGAATAAGGGTCAGAAATAACACAATGAAAAATTACTTTAATAAAGTGACATGAAATGAATTGATATAAACTGTATCAAAACTAAATACCATAAAAGACTCTTTCTTCAACAGGAAATGAAAAATACATCTCAAAATGAATCGTTTGTAACGGCCTTTTGAAATAAGTTGTGACGTGATTGTTATAAAATTTTCAAAACCCGAAGAATTCTTAATGATTTTCTCGAATTTCGAGATTAAACGAATCTTTAAGATGGTCTTCCCAATTTTTCATCACCTGTCATTGCAAAAAGTAATCAGCACTGATTTGATTGTTGATGGTTCTTAAAAGTCGTGTTTTTTTATTTTTGTAACGTTTTTTGAAACTTCAACTGAATATTATTATATTTTGTTATGAAACAAAATATTGTTTTGAAGAAGGACCATGAAGTCTTTCATAACTGGACAATTGTGGAAAATTGGTAGCAAATATGATTGAAGCTAAGGCGGTAGAACATAGAGAGAACATCGCTTTAATCAAATCAGTAAGGATTGTCCATGATCACTCTAGTAAGTCAAATGCACATTTGAGCCTAAGTTTGTGCCGAAATGTTTCTTCGACACAGAGGCTTCAACTTTAACTGGTCTATCTGTGTGCAACAATGGTGAAAAGGTAAGTCTTGTACAACTTTCGTACGCAAAGGATGTAGGGTTGTGTGCTATAGGTCGGCTAGTTCCGTTTCTGTGCTGCCTCCTCAGTGATGCTACAAAGAAACAATTTCTTGTTGTTGGAAGAAGATGAGGCAGACACCAAATTCTGGGCCTAACATTGATTTTAACTCAGTAAATGACGATCGTTCATGACAGTAACAATAATGATAATGACCAAAAACATGATAATAGCGATGTATTGACTGAAAATCGTCTACCATGATTATTGTGGTATGATTATGATTATGGAAACAAATTCCCGTGCATGCAGTCGTGATTTTCTCAAGGTTATCCGCTCACTTCAAGCTTTGAACCTGAACTCTTATCTGCTGGTCGAATTGCACTGAAAACAAATTACTGGTTGGCCGCAAAATTGTCTAACATATTCTTTTACGCAACGATTAAGTTTTGATACAACAGTGAGCAGAAATTACACTTTTGAGAGGAATTATACGAGCTACTTTTGATGACAATCTGCTGGAATAAGGATAAAATGGATTTCCTATGAAGGCCTTTTCTCACAAGCCACGAGTACTCATTTGAAAGATCTATGGATTAAAGTAAAATAAAAGTGCTTTAAAGTTTATGTTTTTCAGCTGAAATAAATATCTCAATTACAATTCATCTTAAAAACTGTAAATTGAATAAGCTGGCAAAGAAAACAGAAGAAATTATAGGCGTATTTGTGGCACGTTATTTTGGGTTCTGGTGACTTATTATGCTTATAACACCTTCCCGAACATCAGAGTCCATAAAACATGTTACCGACGAGGTGATAAAAACTGTTTGAGGGAGCTCAACATGCCAAGCCAATACAAAGATTATTTTTTTACGGTTTCGAGGCAATTTGGGAAATTATTGGCTTTTTTCCGTCGCTTCCAAGCTTCTGAGGTCGCTTCTCCAACATCGGTGATCTTCTTGAATCAACTCAATTAATAGACACTGCACCCCTTAACGGACATTGTCCGGACAAATGATACTATCCTGAAATTCTTTTTTTACGTTCAACGCCTTGTAGAAGCAGCTGCCATGCCGCAATCATCACTGGGAACGGTTATCTCTCGGCACCGGACACTTTCCCACAACGGATACAGGCGTTCTATTAGCGACATTTCTTTTGCAGGTAGAATAAGGAAGTGATCTTTTTTATGCAATAACTAAAATTGCAGTCATCAAAGCAGAGGATGTGACCCTAACCTCTTTCCAGTCTTCAGAAAAAAGTACGCAGTAGCTAGCGACTTTTACAAAATTTCTCTTCTGCAAGCTGAAAAAATTTTCCTTATACAATGTAGCACCAAACTCTGGAAATGTAATAACCTCCTTCTTGTTTTATTAGGTAATAACCGTTCTCAGTATTGGTATATTCAGCTGAATATACAAAACCAAACGTACTGATATTTGATCAGTTTTGGTTGCAAAGAAGAAAGCAAAAGGCGAAGGGAATAAAGCCGAGAGAAGAGAACCAACAGTTGACGAGAAAGCCGGGGGTCTATAAACAATAATGGAGGCATACCTGATCGGAGGAGAGTCATTTGAATTTTAAGAAGAATATGGCCTATGAAAGCAGTGCGCTGACTGGGGTTTTCTGGGGTGAGCCATATAGGGATTCGATCGATGTTGTAGGAACAGGAGAGGAAGGACTCTAAATTATGTAGAGAAGCATGAAATGATGAAGAGGGGGCATTGAATTCTAGAAAAGAGAGTTTGAGCATTCAAAGATAAGAGCTATTTGGGGAGTGGGGAATTGGGTTGCTTGGATTGTAAACGGGTATCGGGCCATTTGAAGGGGAGAAATTTTGAATAATTAAGGCTAAATTGAGGAAATGAAGCAGTGGCACTGAACCTGCTAATAGTGTATCGTGTTTTGAAGAAGAAGATCTTGTTGGGTGCCTTGAAAGAAAGTTATTATCGACCGCAAAGCATGCATGCACACTAATGTGGGATAGTAGAAGTCGTGAAAAAAAGCTATCCTTGACTAAAATCCACAGCAGGGACGCCTGCAAAAGATAAGGGCAGGAGGTGCAGTGTTGGTGCCGGGGGCAAATCGTGGAATTTTTCAACTAACATAACCAAGTATTCCTAGGTGGGAGGGGGGCGAGGTTGGGGTAACATAATGAATTATTAACTTGAATACAGTGCAACCCATACAGCTAGGTTTTTTGTACCATTGTAAAATGAAGGTCTAAAATCGTGAGAGATGATCCAAAGACTGACACTGTAAAGAATGACTGTTTCTTACGAGCGGCTTTACTTTTCCTTTCCGTTGGATTACCCCTCATTAGGATTACATCATGTTGCGTAGTCATTAGTTATATTGTGTAACATTTTATGCTTAGTTATGCTTTTCTGGTATTTTCCTTGTACGTATAAATATACGTGGTTAGTTAGATTCAAGAAGATTCGGAGAGAAATTCAGAAGGTATAGTCATGAAAGGCTAAACATCAGAAAGAAGCTAACCGTTTCGCCCAAGAGGCTTGCAAAAGCTCTTGCGGCCCAGTTTGCATTTAGGACAGGCAGTGTTTGAGAGAGACTGCGCTGTGCCTCGTTATATATTTCATTGGATTGTTATTAGTATTAGAGTTCGCGGAGAACCGTCGTTGTTCATGTTAGCTGCTTAGATTAAAGTTTAGCCTTGGGATGTTATAAGATGGAAATGGAAAAGAAAAGTATAGCCGCTCGCCAGAAACCGTCATTCTTTGAAGTTTCAGTCTTCGGATCATCTCTCGCGTGCACAAGGGGGATATACTAATAATCTAAGTAATATATAAAATACCTACGTATACAAAAAACCAGGTGAAATTGCTAAATTTAGCTCTATTACACCATCAAAGATTCTTAACATAGAGAAAATGTTGACAAAATTATCCATACATAAAAATGGGTATTAAATGGCCTTGTACTATTCACAATATTTGGATTTATAAAAAAATCATAGCTGTTATAAATGGGCTGGTTGTAAAATTTTGATTGCCCGCTAAGTTTTCAAATCGATTTATCCTCCTTAGGTTGCTGGAGTACTTCTGAGGGAACACGTCGTTTATTTATCATCTATTATCTTTGTCGCTCTCCCTCTTGTGGCTGACCTTGTCACAGACAAACTTTTTTCCTTTGCGTTTTTGTGCTGGTGGTAACATCTTTCTAATATTTTCTAATAGATATTAACATAACGAGAGTGATCAAAGTGGTCATCGATTATCGATAAGATCCTATAGTATTTTCTTATATTTCAGGGCACTTCTAGTCCCCTCTAGCCTCCTCTATCCCTCTCAAAGGGGCAGCTGCCCCCCAGCCCCCCCACCCCCGTGTAGGCGCCCCAGATCCACGGTTTAGTCTTCAAATGGATTTTCCTACTCTAACAGCGGGTCGAATTCAGTAAACGGCCCACTTAAGAATCATTCTATCTAGAAGAACCTTTGTGTTTCGGTCACATGAAAATATTTGCGCAGCTGGCCTAAGCAAAAAACTTACTTGACACGAGATTGAATAACGTTTTGATGAGAATTTAAATTATACGTCTGCTTTGTGAAAACACTGCCAGATGGGATGTGCGCAAGAAATTTTGTCATGTTGACTCCAACATTGAAGTTAGAGAGCAGTTGTCCCGTGGGTGACAGGAACCAAGTAATGTTGACCCATCTTTAACAGCTGTTTTGTTCTTATCAAAATTGGTCGGATTATTTTTTCGAAAGTATTAGGGTTACGTCGCGTTTATAAGGAAATGGGGGGAGGGTAATCAAGCCACCTTTTCACTGCCAACAAGTTAAAGAAGACAAGACAGTGATTACATTACCCCTTTCGGTCTTCGCCTTGAAAAGTGTGATGTATAAACTCTTTCAGGCACGGTATCTAATTTTCTTTACTTTTATTTACTAGTTTCCATTACTTTGCTTTCATAACCCTGCGAGATTTACGCAGGATGCTATACACTTTGGGTAGAGCCTTGGCTCTTCAATAGTTATAGAACTACGGGTTTTGACTCTTGTTTGGTAGAGCGTTATGTTCTCTCTCCAGTCATACTCATCAAGTTCTCTCTCGAGTTCATACAAGCACTGTATAACAGTATTTTCAAGTACCAAGTAAAGTCGCAGAATAGAACAAAAAAAGAAAACGGGAAACTTTACCGGTTAGTATAGACGCACTTTCAAGCACTTGTACCAATGTCTTCGAGGCTAACCAAGTTTGCCATCAGCAAGGTTACTCACTCAAGGCATCAACAAAGATGCCTTCCTCGCTGGTGCAGCCAATAAGTTACTGTTTGCCTTAGGAAGGGAAAGAATACATTGTTTGTTATGTTTATATCGAACTAAGTAATATCACTAGGTTAAAATATGCTCTGTTCGATCCCATATGCCAACCGACAAGAATACTGCATCTGGTCATTTAAATTCCAAACTCATCATTCAAGCAAAGGCTTGTCGCCTGTGACGTTTCTGTATTAGACAAACGTTTTTGTTTCTATTAATAAGAAAAAACAGTTATAACGCCAGCCTTATAACGTTCAAGAAGCAATTGCTAAAAAGATGCAAGTCGAATCATGGCTAAAAAAGGTCAGGAACGAGAATTTCGACACTTATTGACTCAGATGTAGGTTGTGATGCTTAAATATTTATAGTAAATAAACATTTTGAAAAGCCAAAGAATTTCCATTGAAAGACTTAAAGCTATCGTCTTATATTTAAGTATTTAGATACTAACCAGGTCCTTATAAGTACTTAGATACAAAAAGAGTCCCCTTAAAAAATCTGTTGTATTTGATTGCATATAGGCAAAAACTTTCGAATAAACATGTGAACTGTTCAGGTTACTTCACTGTTGCCCCAATAAGAAAAGAATGCGTTCTCTCCCCCCACCCTACCATTTTCCCCAGGTTTCCTTTGGAAAACATCATTAGATGCTGGCAACAACCCCCCCCCCCCCTAGCGGCCCTACAGCTCACATTCATCATACCAGCTGCTTCTTCTCTTTTCTCGTATCTCCTATCTCGTAATTGGCACGAAAATCTGTCATCCTGTCACGATTAAGTAGCTGGTAACAACATGGCAGGTATCAAGAAATCTAACAAACCAAGACTAATTAACAACATTTTATTCGTCAGTGGTAAATTCTAACAAATTCCTAGTACAACACGAGAACAAAACAGGTACATATAAGTTTCTGTAGCATCACACTACCACCTCGTTTACAATTCTATCACACTGTTGCCTCGTTTATAATACTGCCTGCGTATAATCACAAAATACAAAGTTTTCCAGCCACAAAACGCCAATTTTTACAAACGTATTTACAAGCTATTGTTACAAGTGAAATTAAAAATACATTGATAACGCCAAGGCATCATTTCTGTACAAAACATTCTGCCAAAGTAATGTTAAGACTGGATTTACTCATTATACAGTTGTCTCTGAATTGTAGAATATGGCAAATCAAACCGCTGGCTTGGACGTGCCTGTTATTCTGTTAATCTATGCATTATGATTCCCAGCCCGTGAATACATTATTAACCGAAGTAGATGGAGTTGCGATTAGTTAGGCCACAATTCCTACGAACTGTTACCATAACACTACACCTATATATTAATTACATGCTATCCTATATGACTGATTCTGGCAAAATCGACGAAGTAGCAATCCATTCTTAAATATTTACAGCTCAGGACTTTGTTCTACCCGTAAAGGCCTTTTCTCAGGCATCCACAAAATACAACCATGTTTTGAAAAGAGTGGTTGAAGATTCGAAAAAGTGAAAGCGTCAAACTACTAAGGCTGATTGTCAAATGTATTGGCTACAGCAACAAGTGAAAGAGAAGAATAAATGCTCTTTTAAAGGAGGTTGTTTGGAAAGATTCCCTCTGAGATATGACAATAAGGATTTGAAACTGGATCAGAGAACTAGTGAAATGGGTCTGAAGCCTGACATCGCCTCAGAGAAAGACAAAAGTGCGTATTGCCATTCCCATCAAGCAGGTCACAGTCCGTAAATTATCCCAAAGAAAACATATACAAGACAGAACAATGGAATGTTTCATGTTAATCAATAAAAACTGACGATTGCATGTTATTCTAACTTAAGGCATATCAAAACTTTTGTTCTGTCTTTGTCAAAAGGTATTGCAAAGCAAATGAGAAATTGAAACTATGACTGCAAAGTAGGATTATGACATTATGGCCAAGAGACTGATTGAAAAACGATGGAAACCTTGAGACTCGATAAAAACTCAGACCTGCATAATTCACTGAGTTCTATAGATGTTTTGTAAGTAATAAGTTATATATTATATTAAAGAGTGAATATTGCAAAGGGGGAAGAAACTTCAAAGCTGCATTATGAAAAAAAGGAAGTTGACCCGAAAACATTGAAAACAAACAAGCCGACGACCAGCGACATCAAAAAGCCAAAATACCAAAAATCAGATCTAACTTTGTTAACTACTAACATGGAGAACTATCGTATGCTTCCTATTGACTGTTGTAAAAGAGTTCTTTGTTGCAGATCGCATACTGAGCAAAATCAGAAACCGAAACACTTTGAAGATATTGCGTCAAGGAACAGACCTTGTATACTCACATCAAAGAGAGGCTAAGGACGCAGGTAGAGTATTTTGACTATATTTCAAAAGAGGAAGGAGCACGTAGGTAATGAAGGAAAATTCGACAATAAATGACAAGATGACAATAGTTGCCGCTCAGATAAGGAATTAAGTTGGTTGATTGGCCTATGGGAAATGAGCTGCTTGGAAGACCCTACTCTAACTTTGGACTAAACGTTTTGCCTCGTTCAATGTGGGATGAATATGTTTATTGGAAATTACCTACAATCAGTCACTAAGAGTTAATCATTTCTTCAAGCTCTAGCATTAAATCATCATCGTCTATTTCTTCTCCGCTTGCAAGAGAAGATAAGTCATCAAGCTCTAGTTCTCTTTCCAGTTCATCGTCTGATAACAAGTCTTCTTTCTTCTTCAGTTCGACGTTTCTAAGGTAAATGACAAATTCAAGGTAAGGTACAGCTGTGAAAAAACAATGACTATAATGAAGCCGGGGAATCAAAATTGAAAGGCATATGTGTTATGAAACATGAAAGCTAGGAGGTGATAGTGAGGTCCCAGTATCACTCTTGCTTGGGATGATACACAACCAAACTGAGGCTTTTATAAACGGCATGAAAAAATTTCCCTTAGCAAAAATTTGCAAAGAAGGGTAGGTGCCTAAAACTGTGGAGGGTAAAGTGAACATTCTTCATAAAAAATCTTATTGAAATAGCACAAAGAGTGTCTACTTCTCTTAAGTCTCTTTGACTGCCAAATAAAGATCAAACTTGTGGAAAACTTTTTATTGATAAGGCGAACCAACAAATGAAGCTTATGGCTAACTTGAAAATGATATTCCCGGAAGGAAAGGGGGCGTGAAAAGGCCCATCGGAAACACCAAAATATCTACTTAATTGGCAAGATTTCGAAACAGTCTCAAGTTTAACTGTGTTAGAAGGAGGAATCGCAGGATACGCTGTCCCCCGGATTCTGTGAATCTTGCGATTAGTTTAAATACAAAGAAAAAATTCAGGAACAAAGCAAAACGGCGACGAGAATCCAATAAGAGAAATTTTCAAAATAAATTAAAAAGAACGAATACTATACCGGGACAGTTAAACGGTCAAGTTTAACTGTGCCGTTCAAAATTCGTTTCCTCAACAATAAAAATTTGATGCGAAAGCATTTTCAGACCAAGAAATATATTTTAACATTAAATGAGTCAGTTTTTAAGTAAATGAATTTTTGTGAAACTTAAAGCAGCAAAAATTTGCTGCTTTATTTAAATCTGCCACTAATAGAATGCTAATATGAGCCATGTGTAAACTGATTTGAAATAAGAAAAGTATTTACTAAAAAAATGGTTTTTAAAAATGTCGTAGTTATTCACATTGTTTCTCTTAGCGTGAGATAAAGTTCATTTGAGTAGCATGTCTTGTTTTAAACACAAAAAAATTGAAATGAAAAAACTATTTATCTACTAAGAATAATGAATTTCCATCAGAATCGATCCCTTTTAAATTTGGTCATTATTAAAAAGGGCAACGAGTTTTGAAAAACTACAACATTGGTGATCTCGACGAAAATCTCGTTAAATTTAAATGAAACAAAGAGATCTGTTTGCGTAGGAGATACTTATGTAACAAAGAATTCCAAATAACGATAGAATATTCCCAAAATGTTTACAAATATAAAAATAATCTTACACAGCTTCTCTGATATCATCCATGGCTTGAGAGACTACATTGTCTGATTCATCTTCCTTCCCAGCCTTTGGACTGCTAATAATATTTTCCTGCGGGTTACAAAAACAATACATTCTACTCAAAAGTTCAATGTTTAATCATAAATAGATATTTATTAAAAATATGAATATATCAGTGATAAATATTTACTATTTAGAGTTACTTTCCCAAATATAAAAGAATTTCTGAATTTATGGATACCAAAAAACCATAGCTCTTTTAAAACATAAAAACTGAATTTTGAAAAGACTCTTTTCAAGACAATCTAGGGCTTGCTGAAACGAAAGAATAAAAGCTTAGCCTTGCAAACTTTTAAGGGGCAACATGGCTCCATCCTAGTATACTACAATGTATGTATCATGTATCAATACAGGAGTATTGCTAATTATGGTGAGGCTGGCCTAGTGGTTACTGATCAAAGGTTCTTTGGTTCGAGTCCATACAATGACCAAACAATCTACTTAGAGAGAAGAGAGTCGCCAGCTCTCTGTAATTCCAGGCGTAGGAATCACGAGGTGAGGTCACATCGAGAGGAAGAGCCAGGACACTGTTCGAACAGCACGGCTTCTCGGTGTCCTAAAAACTACCTTCGGATGCTAAACAGCAACAAACACACAAGCTAAAGTATCACCAACTTATCTATGACATAGAGAATCAAGCAACAAGCAGTTATAGCTTACCTCGTGCGAGCTTAGTTCTGGCAAATCTTCAACTTCAACACCAATATCTAAATCAATAGCATCGAGATCGTCAAAATCAAAATCGTCATTTTTGTTTTCCTCCTCTCTCTTAACTTTCTGTTGTTTAAGGATAGGAGATTTCAAACTTTTAGTTGTTTCCTTGCGATTGCCCAAAGGCCGTGAAGATTTCAATGATAATCCAGCTTCCTTTTTATCGACTTTTCGTAACTGTTCCCCGCCACTCTTTTTCTTCGATTCTGTTTTACTATTACTCCGTTTAAGAATTTTTGGTTTCGCGGCATTTGGTCCTTCCGCTGCTTCGAAACTAGTCCTTGATTTGTCGAAAGTGCGATCTGTTTTCGAAACATCTTCAGCCGAAACCCTCTCTTTACTGTCTTTAAGGGTTCTTGTACTTTCTTTCGAAGATGCTAATTTGGAAACGTCTGTTTTAGCAGCTTCATCTGTAAAATATTTTGAAAATCTGATTATCATTTTAAAAACCCAGAATGTCTCAAATATAAAGATCTTGTAACATTCTACTACAAACTACAGGGACTTTCCTAAGAATAATTCGTTAGAAAATCCTAAACAGATTTTATGACAAATAACACATCAAAATTACAAATAAAAGACAAACAACATTGGCTGACCTATAAAATATTTCTGCCTAAGTATACAGGAATTTAATATCTAAAAAGATGTTTTTTAAAAAATGGCAAACATTGGGGAAGGGGCGGATGGCATTGATGAAAAAGTAAAGGAGACGTCTATGTAACAGTGGCAGTTGTGATCCAGTCGGTGTGCAGACTAAGCTCTTGACTTCGAGACAACTGGAAGGCGGTTTCAACAGCATTGCGAATTCTATTATCATTGCCAAATGTAGAAAATGCAGCATTGCCGAGTCAATATTGATGACAAACTCAATCTGAACACAGACGCAGGTAACTCACTCGAATTTCGTCTTTTTGTCTTCTCAAGACTTTCATGTTTAGCTTTTAGCTTTCGTTTTAATCCAGAATTTCCCGAAGCAGAACCTTCGCCAAATCTTTTCAGCCTTCTCGCTCTTTTTTCTTCCATAATCTCTGAAAAAGACTTTACTTTGACACCAGGTGAGGCCGCCTCGATATTCGATTCTTTTCCAGCTACCTTTTCTTGATTAATTTCTCTTGCTGTTTGCAATCGCTGCAACTTGAAACAAAACAATGAAATGATGCCTGAAGTTTTTGAGAAATTCTATGAGTTTATCACTTAAACTAAATGCAAAACATGTGCTGGATTGTGTAACTAGTCAAAACAAATTCATCTTGTAAGTGAGAAATAAAAAATCAGGAACGTTAGAATACATCACATAGCAATATAAGACAAGTAAAAAATGATGAAATAACAATTCAAAACACGAATAATTCAGCCTGAAAGTTATAACATATTTTACCTGACCCTAACGACTTTTCTAAACAAGAAATCTAACTGAATGACATTGGCTATACCAAATTCACGGTGATCAAATAAATGCCAGCCTTTAAGTTTGTTTGAAAAATGTTGTGAGCTCGATCATCGTTCAAAGAACTCTATATTCGATGAGAACATGAAGTTCTATTGCACGTGACAAAGACTTTTAAGGTCTGAAGATGCAGGCTGGATTTCTTAATAAAAAGAAGCGATCGAAGGAAAAGAGAAGAGAAAGGCCTAACGAAAAATGATACGACAAGCAAAGACAACAAAGAGCGACAAAGAAAGTAAAGACGAATAAAAAACAAACAAATAAATACAGTAGTTGGCAGTTGAGCAGAACACAAACAATCTAGCATACTTTGTAAGACAAAACTCGGTTTAAATAAATCACTCATCCAACAAAAACACAAAGGTACCTTAGATTATACCTAAAAACTAAGGCCGGGTTATACATTCAGTGAGCTATTCCAGATACTGCTCCTTATTTGTACGAATTTCGAAAACTCTGTATCGGTAATCCAACATTATATTAAGGTTAGCTACCTTTGGTCTAGAGATGTCCTTTGTTTCGTCGATTGTAGCTGCCCCATTACGATCCGAGGACAGGGGTTTAGATTGCACAGCTACGACCGCTAGAATAAAAAGAATAATTTACGTCAAGTGGTATTAAAGGGTCATACAAAAAATACAAGAAACTGGATGGATAATAAGGCTATTTTGGAGTGTTTCACGAAAACATAAGGAAATAATGAAGTCTGGTACATTTTTATGCCGTTTTACCCTTGTGTTAAGCCATGAATCCAATACATATACACTAATTTGATCCCTGTTTGCCTTAAAGTCCTGGATTGCCTAAAAAGGGGCACTTAGAATAGGGGCGTTAAAAAAAGGGACATTAATTTCACATAGCACAGCTCAGAGGATTTAAAGGGCATATAAAAGAATTCGACCTGTATATCAACATACAACCTTGAGGTTAGGTCGGCCAGAAAACGTATGATAAGGTTCAAAGCTCCTAAGAAGGAACAAAAAGACAATCACAAAAAGTACCCACTGGAAGCAGGTGGGGGTTTGTATATCTCCACTGATTTTCTGTCCTTCACCTGCTTTGGATAAGTCTGCGGCGCAGCATCATTCTGTTTCACCTTCACAGCTACTCTCCTCACAACCTTAAGGGTCTTTGATGATTTCTGATCTTCTGCGTTTGTAGTACTACCAGCCTGATCAGCCTCCTTCGCAGCACTGACCTTCACAACTTGGCTTCTCAGTGCCGTTCCACCTACATCCTCGTCATCATCATAATCATCGTCAATCGAAGGATCAATTTTGGTATCGTTTTCAGTTTTTGATGTAGGTATGACTGCCTTTCCTTTTAGTGCAGGCGATTCTTCTTTAATTTCGTTTTCATCATTTTCTAGAGGATTAAAAATAAAGACTGACTATATTTCATATTCACGAAAGGAAAATTGCAGATACTGATCGGTGTGGAATATAACATCGACCCAAATTCCCTAAATAGCAATTGCTCAAGGATTCATTAGATCATGAAACCTCAATCATTTGACATCAGTTCCCTCAAACTGCTACAACTCGCGGAATATTTAAGACGCAGATTCTGGTTTGAATAGAATGGAACCTAGAGCACAAAAATAAAGCCTTGATAAAGTCCTGATGTTGTGATCCTAAGATAACGCTCCTATTTAGCTTGGCCTACTGTCAAGATGTGAATCCGCCATCGCAACAAAAACATTGATTATACCTTTGGCTTTCAACTGTTTCTCTTTTGGCGTGTTTGAAACTGCATTCTTTGCTACTTCCTTGTTTGAAACTGGCGGTTTTTCCTCCTTGTTCTGTTTCTCCATTGCCTGTCTTCGTTCTAGCATATTTCTTAACGCTTTTTCTCGCAAAATTTCTTCGTAACTCTTGATATGAAATCCGAAACCTTTTCCTTCGTTCTCCTTCTCTTCACCACTTATCTCCAAAGCAGTGCTCTCTGTAACATCCTTCATAACGTCTCCATCTAATTGTATTGCATTTTTTTCTTCCAATGTTGTTTCAGCTTTATCTTCAGAATTCTCGGTTTTGTTGTTGTCGTTGCTGCTGTTCTCTCCAGCAGCGCGTTCTTCTCCCTCGCTTTCCTGTGAGTTCTTCTCTTCTTCTGAATCTGCCACTAACTCAAAGTCATCTGAAGATAATTCTACAAAAAATATGGACAATAGCCGTTTGATTGGAGAACATGAATAAAGATACTGTCAGAGAACTCGTTATCTAGCGAACTGGCCAACCTTAGATACTTCTATATAGGTGATAGAAAAGAAAAATTTCCACTCTCCATCAAAAATAATCAACGGACCAACCTCTAATTACTGCCATGAACAAATGACAAAACTTGACACAATTTTTTGAAATATTGAGCCATTCAGGAGCCCTTAGCTATCAGGAGTTTATATAACTACTTTTAAACATTTAGTTCTTTGTATTACAAAAAAATATTAGCAGCACTGTCAGCCGTGAGGTCGTTTTTATAAGGGCATTTTAGATCTTTGCTGGAATTAAGAGATGGTAAGATCTCGCTTGAAAATGTGGGCGGGTGAGAAATCCCGGAAAGACTTTCGTGAATTTGACTCCCTTCTTCAAAATAAAACCAAGCTCAAATATACATGATTATTATTAAATTCATAATCAATACAGCAAGTCCAAGAAATCCCTTCAACATAGAGTGGACATATTCAGAAGATTTTTCGTCCTCTGGTATGCTGATGTCGTCTGGATGCTGCAGAAATGTTGTGCCGCGTAGCGTTGAAACAAACGCCTGAATATATTCTTGGTAGCGTGCATACATTGCTTAACATCGCACAACATTGCACAACCCTTCTCTTCTCTAATCACATTTAAAGTCACAATTTATGTATTCTAAATGTGCATAAATTAACATTGAAAGAGGAAGGGGGTATATATTTTGTAACTGTCTGTCTAGGACTGGGATTGCAGATCAAAATGAATGAACAGGTTAGGAGGCGGGACGCACTGGTTTTCTTTCGGAGATAAGAGGCTTCACTTGAAACCAACATATTTGAAACCAACAAAGCAAAAAAACGCATACCGCCAAGATCATCATTTTCTTCCCCCTTCTCTTCTTTCTCCTCTTTCTCCTTTTTCGACTTTTTGCCCTGCCTCTTTTTCTCTTTCTCTTTTTGTTTCCTTCTTCTTTCCTTTTCTTCTTTTCTCTTTGCCCGGTTCTTTCTTCTCTCCTCTGAATCTCTATCTTGTCTAGACTTTTCCTGCCGAATTCTTCTCTCTTCATCCTCCCTTGTTTTGTATCTGTTATCAGCATACTGTCTGCCTGATATGACAAAAATAACTTGACATTTAGCTTCACTCCAAACCAGTAACGAATGATTGGCCAATTATTTAAGACTGTTTACAAAAGAATTGCTTTTTCTCAATTTCCAAAGACAAAGGGCCTCTCACATCAGAGGGTCGACTTACTTCAGTAAAACTGTGGCAAAGTCGAGCCTCGATAAATAAAATACCCCTTTGGGCTGCAATGTATCTTCTTATTGTTTTTTTATGACAAAATTGACGATATACTTAATAATTTTCACTTGGTTTATGAAAGAAGATGAGCATAAGAATGTGCTTCGAAGACCACGAGAGGGTTATGAAGTAAGTCCGCCATAAAAGAAAAGGTTAGTAGCAGTTGTGCTGGGTGACTTTGAAGGCTTCGAGACACGGGCCGCTATGGATAGATCATTTAAGCCAATAGGGGTATTGTGCCGCCTAAAAGTATGGCTTATAAAGCAGGGTGCAGGATCGTTAAAAGAATCTAATAGAATATATTTTGGAACAGCGGTTTGAAATCCGAGCTTGTATTGCTTTACATTAAACAGCAGCCGAAAACCAGTTACGTTCATTCAAACAAATTAACTGATAACAATGAAATTTTAGATGAAAAATTACCTTTGGAGGGGGCGACAGTCCTCCCCTTTCGGTCCCTTCTTTCCTTTTTGAATGTCTGGTAAGACTTATCCTTTTTCTGCCTTGATTCATAAGTCCCCAGAATTTCGTCAAATTCTGAGTCGCTTGAATGAACTACGGAATCAAAAAATTTTCAGAAACCAGAAGTTAACATACAGAATTATATAGAATTTTGTGCAAAATCTCGTTAAATACATTGCTTGTATCATAGATACAGGCCCTTTTAACCCAAGTCGGAAAAAGTTTTTTACCGAAACAATTTATGGTTCATGAATGCAGTTTTATCCTATGCACGAATGCAGGATTTTCAAACACACTTTAGTGGCAATCTAAGTTTCTTCTCACTTTTGGCACGATCCTCTTTTTTAATAAAAGGGCACTCAATACAGAAAAACCTCTGAGCTTTAATGATCAACTCGAAACATAAAAAAATATATACTTGAAAATTCAAATAGTTAAGAACACAAAAGTACAAAACATCTAGCAAAAAAGTGCTGCTTTTAAACTATATATGTGCTTTTCTGTAAAAGCTTGCAAAACAAATTCTTGAAAACAACAACATGGTGTATTGTACATTGAAAGTCGAGTTCATAAACAACATACAGATAAACGGTGACACAAAAAATGATGGACTTTGCAAACCTGGAGATTTATCTCTTTTGGTTTTCTTTTTCTGGGCATCCTTCATTGGAGATCCTATGAATTGAAAGAACTAGCAATGATTTAATGTTGATAAAAAACCTGAATAACGAAAATGGATATTCAATTACGTTGAGTACAATAAATAACATTGAACTATATCATAACATATCATATCTTTTTGTATCATTAATTGTATTTTACTTCATCGTATTATATCTCATCAATATTATCATATATTCCATTTAAAAAGATTGTATACATTATTTATATACATATATTATAACTCCATTGTGCAGTAACATCTTACAACTATATTTAGCTATTGATAAGCAGTTTGAAATGGTTTTCACTGAATTGGCACTTACCCATTCGCTTTTCACTGATCATTTCTTTGAACATTCTAACATGCTCTTGGAAGGATGAGTCTATTGGGAAACAAAATGTCTAAATATTACTTTTAAAAAGTAAAATTCAATGATAAGCTTCTTCTAGATCCTACTTTCCATTATTATGTTTTGATTTTCCAAACTTTGTGCATTTTTTACCAAGATTACAGAACACTTCAAAACTAATTACCAAGACTGCAGGTAGTTGTAGCAGGCATGGGGTGCAGCAAACTTCAATTTTGTTAGGTCATAAAACAACAGCAGATTAAAGCTAAGGATACAGCTAGATATGACACTGCCAGGAAGCAGGGGATGGCAGACAATGAGGTCTTTGGTCTGTCTGATGTCTTATACAGAGCAGGGGTGGACAATGCCAGTGAACAGGTGGAATACCCAGCTCTTTCTGTGGTCTTCCATATATGGCCTGTGTTCTCCTAAAAAGGAATTCTGGCAACAGGGATGGACAATTCTAGTATAGTTTGGTCATCCAGGGTTTACCCTGTTTAAAGATAAATGGTGTCCCACAGATAACAACCAGGCATCCCAGGTGTGTGGGACTGAATTGTCCACAGAGGCAGTTAGGATTAGGGGCACAAAAGAACCAGAAGAGGAAGAGATGTGCGTGCCCACACAGAAAAGAAGAAACAAACAGTGCCATAGGAGCTATCTTGTGCCTGAAGCTTAAAAGAAGTTGATGTATAGTTGAGAACACAACTTACACAGAAACTAGACAGTAGACTCCCCCAAACCATATCATATTGAAGTAATTTAACAGTCCCTTTGAATTGAAGAGACATTTGAAATTAAAGGAACTACAGGTAAAAGCCTACTTTTGCACCCTACTATTACTATCACCCACCTAAACTATTTTATAGGTCCTTTAAGATATATATTGAGTTTATATATATAAACATTTACTTTGCTAGGAAACTGTTGGAGGTAAGGGCTGCCAGCTGAAACTAGATTTCTTCAAAACAGCTACAACTTTAGAGACATTTTCAGTTACTGCCTTTGCAGTAACTAGATTTGGCTAAAAATAAGATAAATGTTTGATGAAATATCTTCAAACTCCATCTGGAAAAGGTTACAGATACACCCACATGTCATTACAATATTTGCATTTAATCAATGCTTACTTCTAGAATGGAGTTTACCTGGGGCAGATAGCAAATTTGCTTGTTGAACTGGGAATAGGTTTGTGTCCGGTATTGATTTTGCTATTTGTGCTTCTACAGGAATACTGACAAATGGTTGCAAACTAGGCTGAGAAACAACAGCTGCTGCTTGGCTTGAGATTCCCTGTAAAAAACGAGATAGCTGAGGTAGAAGGATGTTAATTGTGTACATCAAAATGTGGAGATACATGAAAAGTTTGCCAGCAGCTTTGTATTCAACATGAAATATTTTCTTAACCCATTTGATGAAAATTTTGATAAAAAATCAATGCAAAAAGATATCAGATATAGAGAACCATAGCTACAATCAGGCCTGGCCGTTTGAGGCGAGCGATAGCTCGCGCTCGCCTCCACGCTCCCCTCGCAACCTGAGGCGAGCTATGAATTGCTCTCCTAAACAGAACATGAAGGGAGAATCGCTCCCCTAAAATTTCCATTCATTTGCCCTTTTCCTATTCAGAGAACCCTGAAAACGGATTAATTGGCTTATTTTTGTAACAGCGATTTCTCCCGTCACTGCATTTTTTGCAATTAACTTTTTGCTTGTTGAGCGGTTTTTGTTATGATAGGCATAAACTTCGATCTATTTGGAAAAGGATAGTTAACCGAAAGGTACGTCAAAGGAACGTTTGTAGCGATTAGACCTTTCACTTAAGAAAAACAGGAATATTTTTCGGAAGGAGTCGAAGAAATGGGTGGAATTGTAAGATTTGGGGATATAATATAGAAAACAGCAGGGTCTCCAGCAATAGAAACCAAACTATCCTCAAAGAGAACAGGGTACTCACTGTCTTGCAGATCAAAAACGAACAACCCAAAACAATGGAATTCAACTATCCAGGCAGCATTTACTGAAAAACCCCGATTGGGTGAAAAACTATAATGGCGACATGTTTCGCATTATTTGGGCAAAGCCTGATCATCGTTTCATATAAATGTAGCAGTTGTGGAATCTATCTACTAATATAAACATGGCCGGACTGCTTTGTTGTGTAGACATTAAGTGATTTGTTTGTCAGCCTTAGGACTCCGTTGGTACATTTTCAATAGGAAAGGGGCACTGTATTGGAAAAACCGTCAACAGTCAATGTCTTCGAGAGGCGTTTCTCTCTGAGTGCCTATTTCGATGCCAAAACTGGGTATCTTAAAGCGTAGAGTTTTCCACTATGTTCTGACCTTTTATT